GTCTTCGTTGACAGTCGGTTTCGTGCGTGACAAGGACTTCAGCATGTCGCGCTAGGTGAAATAAATAAAGAAATAACATCAGTACGGGGTAAAAGGTTAGTAAACTTAGAATCCGTACCATGGTAACGGGCGGTTCGAAGAGCTTGTCGCTGGGCACATCCATCCAGTTCATCTCGACGGCGCCCTGGTCGCCCGGCGAGCACGGAACCAGCAAATCGTTGACAATCTCTTCGGGGTTGTTGGGACTTGGGCCGGACACCTTCTTGAAATGCGTGGCAGTCTGCACCTTGCGCACAGGTTCCATCAGGGCATCGCGCACCACGATCGATATATCCGCGCCAGAGTAGCTGCAAAAGGGGAAATCAATCAATTAGTTTACAATTCTAATTATGAACAGTATACAAAGGGGGTTGATTTGTGTGGCCACAATGGACAGTTAAAACTAAATCATATACAGCATTTTGTATAATTGCACACAGATCAAGCCCAACCAATGATTTTGGCACGTTATGTACCCCTCGGTTTTGCCGGCCAACTCCTTGAGATCCTGCTCCGTCAGCACGTGCGTGGTGTTGCCCAAATGGATCTTAAACATAACGAGGCGAGCGTGCGCCTCCGGCAGCGGAATGTAGATGCGCTTCTCGAATCGTCGCCGGATGGCCGAGTCGAGGACCCAGGGTATGTTGGTGGCTCCAAGGACGAGGATGCCATCAGTGTCATTGCCCACGCCCTGCATTTGCACCAGGAACTCGGTCTTGATGCGCCGGACGCTGTCGTTCTCGTTGTCCGATCTTGCCGAGCACATCGAATCGATCTCGTCGATGAAGATGATCGAAGGCTTGTGCTGGCGGGCCAGCTCAAAGAGATTCTTGACCAGCTTCTCGGACTCGCCCAGCCACTTGGACATCAGATCGGAACTGGATACCGAGAAGAATGTGGACCGATTGGCTTCCGTGGCGACGGCCTTGGCCAGATAGGATTTACCGGTACCGGGCGGTCCGAAGAGGAGGATGCCCTTCCACGGAATACGCTTGCCGGTGAACAGCTGCGGGAATTTAATCGGCAGGATAACGGCTTCCTTCAGTGCCTCCTTGGCGGCATCTAGGCCGGCGACATCGGACCACTGAACCTGTGGCTTCTCTATGACGATGGCGTCCTCCAACTTGCTCTGCAGCTTCTTCTTCTCAGGATCGTCGCCGTCCTCGTCGTCGCTGTCGCTCTTCTTGTCCTTGTCGTCCTTGGCGCTGGACTCGCCGCCCTCCTTAATCGGTTTCTTCTTGCCCTTCTTCAGGTACTCCTTCAGCTTCTCGGCCCGGTCCAAATACTGCAAGCACTTGGCTCGTATCGAGTCCTTGGCCTTCTCGCCCTGCGCCTCATCTTTTTGGGAAGAAAATAGATATTATGGATTTTTTTAAGGAACAATTTAGTTAGAAATTAGTTGATAACAAAGTAAGATGGAAGATGTTTTAGTAGTGCTATTAGTTATTTCATTAAATGCATTAAAGGTTCTCTTACATTTGATGGTGTGCAGGAAGTACTCCACTCCGTGTTCATAGAGACGCAATGCCTCCGCGTAGTTTTTGTTTCGATCCTCCTCGGTGGCCTTGGTCACCAGATCGATGGCCTTCTGTAGTGTGGTTCCGGCTGCCATAGTGCTGCAAAATGAATGAGTTACCAAATTAATTTTTTCGTCACCGATGATATCACTATTAACTGACAGAAAAAGGGTTAGCAAACGGAGTATTTTAAGAAGTTTCTTCTTGGTTGCATTTTTTAATTGTTTTACTAGTTTTTGGGATGCATTATAAATGGAGATAGTGGTGTGGATTCACATAAAGGAATACTGTTTACATTAAGTTATAAAAACTGCACTGAATTAAGGATTAAAGATAGGAAACCTATTATGCAGATCTTATACAATCTAGGCGCTTATATTCATTGTACAATTGTATTACATCTGTTCTTAAAATATGTGACAATTAAAAAATGGGTTCTATAAGTTATGGTACCCCTATTGATTTGTGCACAACATTACTGGATGGGATCTATGTGTGTACATCATAGGTAAATAAGCGATGTATCAGATTTAACAGCTTAGATGGGAACCCAACTTCCCAGACTTTGTAGATATGGATCATATTGGTTATCGGCTATGTTTCGGACTTTATTGGCCCCTCCCCATGGGGATTTCGGGCGTCCAAAAGCCTGGCTTCTGCTTCCTCTACCCACCGGCTCTTGTGGAAAATCGAAGATGACGGTTACTCAATCCCAATCCTAGGGTCGGTGGTAACTCCGATTCCGGTTTCAGGGTCCTTCGGTGACGCAGTTCGCGAACAAAATCGAATTTGTGGGCATGACTAATGCTCCACACACAGCGGCATTGACAAAAACACCAGTCGCGAATTTCGGGGGCGGGGACAGCGGGTATTACTCACGTTTATGCTGGCTGACTCGCTCCGAAATCCAGGCAATCGTCACTGGCTAACTCGTTGGCTGTTCGAGAGGTGTTAAACAAAAGGAAACTTAACTATTTTGTTGGAATTCCAACGCAAATGACGACGTCTTGTTTTTTTTTATTTGCCAGAGTGACCGGTTCGTTTAAAGTGCAGCGCAACGGGAGCGCCACTGGTCGCACTAAAAATCATTAAAGGCGCGCTTTTTGAAATCTATTAAAATATATATAACTATTGATGTTACCACAGTTTTACACATAGATTTCAACATTTATGTTCTCTTGTTTTATAGCGTATTATATAGGCACTTGAAGATAAAGTAATTTGGTTAGAGAATAAATTATATTTAGTTTATTAAAGTAATAACATGAATATAAATAAAAAGTTATTTGTCCATTATTAATAATCGATAAGCTACCATATGTTAACATCTAGCTATTTTTAGCTTTTTTCGCGCTGTTCTGCCAATCGTCGGTACAAGGACTGACGAAAAAATACTAGAAATGTATTTGGCGTTGCCACCACGAGCTGAATAACTTTGGGTGAACGTTCGTCTTTAGCGAAAACAGTACAAAATGTATTCTTTTAGACTGTTGATCAGCGGAAAATTTAATACAGCTTTATTAAATGCTTAATCTTTCTTCTGTAATGAGTAAAAAATGCTTAGGATGTTAGCTGCTCAAAAATGTCGGTCTTTTGACTGTACGCCCTGATTTGGCTAAACTACGGTCGAAAAACCGTTAAAAATGGGTATTTTTGACCAAAATCTGAATCCCAAAAAAAAATGAAAAAATGGGTCAAAAAATAAATTTCCTTAAAAACGATTTGGATTGTTAGCTTAGGATGTTAGCTGATCAAAAATGTCGTTCTTTTGGCTGTACGACTTGATTTGGCTAAACTACAATCAAAAAACCGTTAAAAAATGGGTATTTTTGACCAAAATCTGAATTCCAGAAAAAAGGATGATGCAACCCCTTACAAAAAATGAAAAAATGGGTCAAAAAATAAATTTTCTTTAAAATGATTGGGATTGTTAGCTGCTCAAAACTGTCGGTCTTTTGACTGTACGACTTGATTTGACTAAACTACAATCAAAAAACCGTTAAAAAATGGGTATTTTTGGCCAAAATTTGAATTCCAAAAAAAGATGATGCAACCCCTTACAAAAAATGAAAAAATAGGTCAAAAAACAAATATCCTTTAAAATGATTGGGATCGTTAGCTTAGGATGTAAGCTGCTCAAAAATGTCGTTCTTTTGGCTGTACGACTTGATTTGACCAAACTACAATCAAAAAACCGTTAAAAAATGGGTATTTTTGACCAAAATCTGAATCCCAAAAAAAGATGATGCAACCCCTTACAAAAAATGAAAAAATGGGTCAAAAAATAAATTTTCTTTAAAATGATTGGGATTGTTAGCTTAGGATGTTAGCTGCTCAAAACTGTCGGTCTTTTGACTGTACGCCCTGATTTGGCTAAACTACGATCGAAAAACTGTCAAAAAATGGGTATTTTTGAGCAAAATCTGAATCCCAAAAAAAGATGATGCAACCCCTTACAAAAAATGAAAAAATGGGTCAAAAAATAAATTTCCTTAAAAACGATTTGGATTGTTAGCTTAGGATGTTAGCTGCTCAAAAATGTCGGTCTTTTGACTGTACGCCTTGATTTGGCTAAACTACGATCGAAAAACTGTCAAAAAATGGGTATTTTTGAGCAAAATCTGAATCCCAAAAAAAGATGATGCAACCCCTTACAAAAAATGAAAAAATGGGTCAAAAAATAAATATCCTTTAAAATGATTGGATTTGTTAGCTTAGGATGTGAGCTGCTCAAAACTGTCGGTCTTTTGGCTGTACGCCTTGATTTGGCTAAACTACGATCGAAAAACCGTTAAAAAATGGGTATTTTTGACCAAAATCTGAATCCCAAAAAAAGATGATGCAACCCCTTACAAAAAATGAAAAAATGGGTCAAAAAATAAATTTTGTTTAAAATGATTGGGATTGTTAGCTTAGGATGTCAGCTGCTCAAAACTGTCGGTCTTTTGGCTGTACGTCTTGATTTCGCTAAACTACGATCGAAAAACCTTTAAAAAATGGGTATTTTTGAGCAAAATCTGAATCCCAAAAAAAAGGCGATGCAACCCTTACAAAAAATGAAAAAATGGGTCAAAAAATAAATATCCTTTAAAATGATTGGGATCGTTAGCTTAGGATGTTCGCTGCTCAAAACTGTCGTTCTTTCGGCTGTACGTCTTGATTAGGCTGAACTACGATCGAAAAACCGTTAAAAAATGGGTATCAGAGTTTTGGCTGCCGAATTACAATTACTTGTAATTAAAAAATTAATTGTTGGGCTATTGTTTTTTCAGGAATTGGTATATTCCTCTTGTTGGAGCTTAATTTTAATGATTGCTGGCTAAATATAAATAGATAAATGAGTTTTAATTAAAAATGTGCACAAAAATTACAACAATGGTTTGAGACGCGGCTACATCAGAGTTCCAATACCGGGCCTGCGGCTGTGCTGAGTAAATTTTTGGCATTTTCGCAGTGCAGCGGTCTGGCAACTCCGGCCTTCTCTTCTTCTTGCCAACGCTTCCGCTTTCTGTTCTTTTTCCTCGTGGTTTTCGACTGACAAGATGGCTCCAACCGTAAGTGCTCCGAGATTCGGGAAGATATTCGCGACTGGCCATAGCCTGGTGCTCCAAAGGGTGCTGCAAGTTGTGCAACATGGTGATCTCCGAAAGGCGGTGGCCAGCAGTGAAATAACCTAGCCCATCCAACCCAACGAATGTGTGTGTGAACTCTTTTTTTTTCTCTTTTTTTTCGGTGCTCCTCCAGGCCAAGACCAACAAGGGTGATACCAAGGCCGCCGCTGCCAAGCCGGCCGAGAAGAAGGCTGCTCCCGCTGCCGCCGCCAAGGGCAAGGTGGAGAAGCCCAAGGCTGAGGCCGCCAAGCCCGCCGCCGCCGCTGCCAAGAACGTGAAGAAGGCGCCCGAGGCCGCCAAGGATGTGAAGGCAGCCGCCGCTGCTGCCAAGCCCGCGGCAGCCAAGCCCGCAGCCGCCAAGCCCGCTGCCAAGGATGCCGGCAAGAAGGCTCCCGCCGCCGCCGCTCCCAAGAAGGACGCCAAGGCTGCCGCTACTGCTCCGGCCGCCGGCAAGGCTGCCCCAGCCAAGAAGGCCGCCTCCACCCCGGCTGCCGCTCCTCCGGCCAAGAAGGCTGCTCCCGCTAAGGCTGCCGCCGCTGCTCCGGCTGCTGCTGCCGCTGCCGCTCCTGCCGCAGCTGCTGCTCCCGCCGTGGCCAAGCCCGCTCCTAAGCCCAAGGCCAAGACTGCCGCCCCTGCTCCCAGCAAGGTGGTCAAGAAGAACGTGCTCCGCGGCAAGGGACAGAAGAAGAAGAAGGTGTCGCTGCGCTTCACCATCGACTGCACCAACATTGCTGAGGACAGCATCATGGATGTGGCCGATTTCGTAAGTAACTGGAGTCCCCAGAGGAACCTAGAACTCACCCCGCTCAGTATCAAAATCTGGCTATGATTGGTCTTTGCTTTCAAGGTATTCCATGGGTTTTGAGAGTCTCTATATCTATAATTTAGTTGTCCTTAAGTATGCATTCTGTATCTTCTATGGAAACATAAAGATATATGTTTTTGTAGCTTACTAGATCCTTGCATACTTTTGGACAGCTTTGTTCCACATTTAAGATCACTAGAGACACATCTTGATAACCTAAAAGGGCAAAAGTTCCCTCCAAATGCCTGACAGCAATGACCTGAACATAACCTGCAAATCAGTATCAGTTTTACCGCACCAAGCTTTTCATTGCCCTCCAAGTTAACCAGGGGCTCTGGATAAAAAGTTGTGGTTACAGTGAAGTCTCCATTTGGCGATAAACTGCCAGCGGACTTTACCCGTGCCGCCGGCGGTTAACAACTCCTGGAACAGTACTAACTGTAGACTATGTAGCCTTACCATCATGTCCGTTCCGAAACCATATCGAATCGAATCTTTCGCTGCCCCCCTCAAAGGGGCACACGTGTTCCTCCGCAGCGCCTCCCAATCGCGCTAGTTGTCAAGGGGCTCTGGGCACTGCACAACGGGGTAGCCACTGACCGCCAGTGACCTGGCACTGGCCAGTGGTGCAACCGTCTGTGAACAGCGTCAAGCCGTGCTATGTGTACCGCCACGTGGTGGGCCCTGGGTTGAGTGCGTCCACAGCCGTGGCGCCTCAGGCCAAAATTCATAGTGCGCCCTGCTCACGGTGTCCGCTCTTTCGTGTCACTGCAGGTTTTCCCAACTAGTAGCAGTTAGCATTAGGTGCTTCTTCTATAAAAATCTATCTTGTCTTGAGAAAGCAACAAATAGAGTACCCGCTAGTGGGCAAACCGAATGCGCTAAACGCGCTTGATAGCAGGGCGCAGAATCCCTTAAGGCGTCGCCCCACCACAGGATCAGGTAACTACCATCTTAAGCTGCATTCATAAATGGGGAATGGAACCACCAGGTGGGGAACATAACTATTCCATTAACCTTGGAAGAATCTTAACAAGTCACTTGGCTTGCGTTTAGTACCTCCCACCTGGTGGCTCCAATCCCCATCCTTGCTCATTTATCACCTGGATAAACGTACAAATTACAGGCCACGCCGATTTGCCGTCAGAGAGTGAGCTTCTTGCGTCGCTCTGATGGCAGTGTACTCAGTGGCACATCAAAAAATTGGTCACTCTTCTTTATTTGGGCCTTCTGTTCTACACACTCGACTCTTGGCCTTAACAAAGACAGAGACATTAACTCCAGCTAACCCTAACCGGCTGCTGCCTTGAAGATGCGGTCCAGATCCAAGCAGAACTAACCCGAGAATCCCTGTTTCTTTCCGCCCACAGGAGAAGTACGTGAAGGCCCGCCTTAAGGTCAACGGCAAGGTGAACAACCTGGGCAACAACGTCACCTTCGAGCGCTCCAAGCTGAAGCTCCATGTCAGCTCCGATGTGCACTTCTCCAAGGCCTACCTCAAGTACTTGACCAAGAAGTACCTGAAGAAGAACAGCCTGCGTGACTGGATCCGTGTGGTGGCCAACGAGAAGGACTCGTACGAGCTGCGCTACTTCAGAATCAGCTCCAATGACGACGAGGACGACGATGCCGAGTAAAGAAACGCCAGTAGCAGGTCCACACAGCAGAAACACTAGGTTTACATTCGTTTTTATTATATATCTCACGTCCTCGAGGTGGGCGTGTTTTTATAAGCTAACAACAAGGTGTGAACCCATGGAAAAAATCCCTTCGGGTTCGCCGCAATAAAACATTTGTGTGTGAACCTCGATATCGTTGTGTTTTTAATTGGTTGTATTGAAATTACATAATGATTCGACTGTAGATGCACTTCTTAAAGGTATCATGGAGATCGTTTGGGACCAGCTGTTTGGCTGGACTTATAGATCAGTTCTTAAGGTTCAAGATATTTGAAGTTATTGGAAAAGCTTTTGGACTTTAAAATTATTGTTTAAAAGGCGGGGTTTTTAAGATATACGCTAGTCGCCATTGTGCTTTCTATACTAGCTAAAAAAGCTTAATGATCCACTATCTCTGTCTCGCTTCGTTTCATGATGGTTTGCTTTTTTGTTGCCTAATGTGGTGAAAGTATTTACTGCCCTTTAAGAGGGTATCGTAAATTAAGGCAGTAGGTTTGATGTTGTTTTTTTTATATTTTATTTTACTATCTAAAGTTAATTATCTTTTTTAATAGTCCATAAAAAAGTACTTCAAATAATAATTTAAATGTTAAATTATTAGTTCAAGGACTCAGTATATCTTTGGTAAACCATTTGATTAGAAATAACCCCCGTAATTGCTTAATCAATAGTCAAAGTCGATCTGGTTTTATAGAAAACCGAAAGCATAAGTGCAGGTATAATTAATTTTTAATCGACTTTTGATTTGGGTAGATACCAGTTTGAGTTATTCAAGTGGAACTGTATATTATATATCATGATGATGGAGACCCAAGCTTTTGTTCCAACAGCTCCATCAACTGGGAATGTTCCGGATGGCACTGCCTGGTATCAGTTGCGCTTTCAGTATCATGTCTCTTCAAATATTTGCTAGTTCCGTACTCTTGTCACCCGTTTTGTTTGCCCACCCGTCGGTCAAAACAAAGTACGCCTTTCTGTTGGCGTTGCGAAAACAGGCGGACCAAAATAGTCCGGACAACCGCTGCTGCCCATCAGTGGGCCAGCGGACCCGGACCATTAACTAATTCCAATTCCCTATTTGGTTTGGGTTTTGCATGAGTAATGCAGGCGAAATGAAACCCCATCGTGTCAAGTGCTATGGGTGTAGGCGAAAGCTTTTATTTTTATTTAATTCAACAATTGAGTGCAACAAATACGTTTGCTTACAACGATACAAAAAAAACAAGCAACGATTACGCTAACAATTCTAGAAAAATATACACATTTAGTGAGAACTGACATTCACTTTGTCTTTTTCAGGGGCTTTTGAGTAGGGCTTGCATGTAGCATAGGGTTATATATAATATATACTGAGATATTCGAATGTTTGCTTTGTTTTCGAGCACACACCGGGATGGTTTGGGACTGGAACTGGGTCTGGGTCCGGTTACGGGTGTCCATTCCCATCGCCAATCATCACAATTGAAGGCCGAGTTGGAAAAGGGGGACTTTAGAAGGGGAATTCTAAACTGGGAAGCCAGCTTGTTTATCCACGAATACTGTAATCGGAGATGGTACGGCTTAAATTAACAATTTTCGTCCAATTAGCGCCTGGAATTATCGATCTTGGCGGGCACAAATAAACCGTGCGCGCCAAGGCCACAAAAGCTGGGTAGGAAGGTACAGTAGGTAGTCGGGTATTTGGGTATCTGGGTAATTGTGTGGGGGAAAGTGTGCACACAATGCAGCTCGGAACATTCCAGAGGCATGCTCTTTAGAAGCCAGCGAAGCGCTTGGCCATAACTCCGCACACGAGCATGAGGAGCAGGCTCTGGCTGGTCAATCCGGCCAGGGACTGGGCTCCACTGGTGTTGGCCTTGACGGACGCCTGAACGGGAGCCGCCACATCCTGTGCCTGCTGCACTTGCTGCGATCCCGGCTGAGCGGGCGCCATGGGCGCCAGCGGAGCTGGTCCTTCGCCGGCCGGAGCAGCTGGTGGCGGAGGCGCCGGGTAGCAGGCGATCTTCTCCACCTCTACCATCTTGGTGCTGTCAGCCGGATCCGTTTCGTTCACCTTGGTGGGCACACAAATGATGCCGCCAGCCGGTGGAGGAGCAGCTGCATCAGCTGCTGGTGCTGTCATGTTGGAGGCGTCTGGATTGAAGGGAGCCATTGGTGCCATGGGCACAGCTGGCTGCTCCTGGGCATCCTGGGTCACGTTGGAAGGCGGCATCGGTGCTGCTGCTGCTGGTACTGCTCCAGGAGCAGGAGCAGCGGCCACTCCACCAGCATTGATCACGGTGGTGCCATCGGTGGCATTCACCGGCACGCCATTGTTGATGATGATGATGCGATCCTGGCCAGCAGCAGGAGCCGCGGCCACCGGCTGCGAGGAAGAGCTGCCTCCAGAGGGCGTGAGGGCGTGGCCCAGCAGAGCACCGCCCAAGCCGCCAGCAAGCAGACCAGTGCCTGTGAAGAAATTAATCATTAAGGCGGAGAAACAGATGTGTGGGCTTAAAATAACACCAAACTTGGTCACGAATTGGGTTAATATTTAAGGCAAACATGAGTCAGCCAATCGAGGTGGGAAATATATCAAATCAATTCGATGTAACCCAAGTTAGGCCCCGTTTCAAAGGGAAATCCCAGTCAGAACTCACCGAATCCAAGGCCAGAGGAGGATTGCTGAGGCGGCGCAGAGTAGTAGGTGGCTCCGGGCGGCAGAGCAGATCCCGCCTGATAGTAGGTGGCTCCCGGAGGCGGTGCAGCGGCCGGGTGATAGCCACCGCCCATGGGCATCTGTCCGGCGGACGGGTAGTACGTTGCTCCAGCGGGTAGATTCGAGGGATAGCCACCGCTGTGTCCTCCAGCCGGGTAGTAGGTGGCACCCGCCGGCACTCCCGAGTACTGCGGCTGATGGACATTCGATCCCGTGGCTGCGCCATAGCTGGGAGGAGCTGCTCCATAGTTGGGGGCATGGTAGGCCGGCGGCGGTTCGTGCATATTGGGTCGGGCACCTCCGGCGGGATTGGAGGCGGAGTAGGCGGGCGGCGGACCCTGCGGCACATTCCAGCCAGGCTGAGGGGCCGCTCCTGCTGGGGATCCAGCTGGAGAGCCAGCGGCCATGGGGCGATTCGGTTGCGAGTTGTAGTTGGGGTAGCTCAGTTTGGCCACATCCGCGTGCGAGTTGCCGGCGGCATGGCCATTCGTGTTGTAGCTAGGCTGCGTGACGTGACCGTAGTTGGAGGAGCTCGACGAGGACGAGGAGGAGGAGGGCTTGCGCTGGTTATTGCCCTGGTTACGCCGGGCATCCACAACACCGCCGCCGTGCGTCAGCAGCAGGGCAAATACCGCCCAGGCAACGAAGGCGACATGGGAGCACGCACCGCCACTGGAGGTCATCATGTGATCCGGAATCCGGGGATTAGTGCTTCACCCGCAGTACGAAGAAGACGAGACTATAAAGATCGCAATAAAAAACGACAAGCGTTGAGCGTAAATCAGCGGCCACTGGTGTGCATGCTAATTACAGAAACCCGTTTTTGGATGACGCCGATGCTTGTGGTCGTTATTGCAGCTGGCTTCGTTTTTTCCGCGCGAAACAAGTTGACTTCTCGGTTATAAAAATAATAATCGTTAAAAATTTCACTTTTTGCAATGTGGCCAGGCAGGAGTCTTTCGCGAATTAACAGCAACCGCGAGAGTAGCCCTGGTAAAAGGTTGGTGCCTTTGCTAGAAATCTGGCTAATATGGTAAATGGTTGGGTGCTTTGCTAGATATTTAGTTCCTATAATGTGACCCTGGTAAATGGTTATGGACTTTGATAGACATTTAGTTCATATGGTTGGGGACCCTGCTGGACATTTATGGTTAGGGACTTGGTGGACTTTTAGTTCAAGTGTTTTTTTGAGCATGCTACTATTGGAAAGCGTTGCATACTTTTGGGGGGCCGCCATTTCGAATTTAGAAACATTGTTATTTTTTGACCCATTTTTTCATTTTTTGTAAGGGGTTGCATCATCTTTTTTTGGAATTCAGATTTTGGTCAAAAATACCCATTTTTTAACGGTTTTTCGATCGTAGTTTAGCCAAATCAAAGCGTACAGACAAAAGACCAACATTTTTGAGAAGCTAACACCCTAAGCTAACAATCCCAATCATTTTAAGGGAAATTTATTTTTTGACCCATTTTTCATTTTTTGTAAGGGGTTGCATCATCTTTTTTTGGGATTCAGATTTTGGTCAAAAATACCAATTTTTTAACGGTTTTTCGACCGTAGTTTATCCAAGTCAAAACGTACAGTCAAAAGACCGACATTTTTGAGCAGCTAACATCCTAAGCTAACAATCCCAATCATTTAAAAGGAAATTTATTTTTTGACCCATTTTTTCATTTTTTGTAAGGGGTTGCATCGTCTTTTCTTGGGATTTAGATTTTGGTCAAAAATACCCATTTTTTAACGGTTTTTCGATCGTAGTTTAGCCAAATCAAGGCGTACAGTCAAAAAACCAACAGTTTTGAGAAGCTGACATCCTAAGCTAAAAAACCCAATCATTTTAAAGGAAATTTATTTTTTGACCCATTTTTTCATTTTTTGCATCGTCTATTTTTGGGATTCAGATTTTGGTAAAAAATACCCATTTTTAACGGTTTTTCGATCGTAGTTTAGCCAAATCAAGGCGTACAGCCAAAAGACCGACAGTTTTGAGCAGCTAATATCCTAAGCTAACAATCCCAATCATTTTAAAGGACATTTATTTTTTGACCCATTTTTTCATTTTTTGTAAGGGGTTGCATCGTCTTTCTTTGGGATTCAGATTTTGGTCTAAAATACCCATTTTTTAACGGTTTTTCGATCGTAGTTTAGCCAAATCAAGACGTACAGCCAAAAGACCGACAGTTTTGAGCAGCTAATATCCTAAGCTAACAAACCCAATCATTTTCAAGGAAATTTATTTTTTGACCCATTTTTTCATTTTTTGTAAGGGGTTGCATCATCTTTTTTTGGGATTCAGATTTTGGTCAAAAATACCCATTTTTTAACGGGTTTTCAATCGTAGTTTAGCCAAATCAAGACGTACAGCCAAAAGACCGACAGTTTTGAGCAGCTAATACCCTAAGCTAACAATCCCCATCATTTTAAAGGAAATTTATTTTTTGACCCATTTTTTCATTTTTTGTAAGGGGTTGCATCGTCTTTTCTTGGGATTCCGATTTTGGTCAAAAATACCCATTTTTTAACGGTTTTTCGATCGTAGTTTAGCCAAATCAAGGCGTACAGCAAAAAGACCGACAGTTTTGAGCAGCTAACATCCTAAGCTAACAAATCCAATCATTTTCAAGGAAATTTATTTTTTGGCCCATTTTTTCATTTCTTGTAAGGGGTTGCATCGTCTTTTCTTGGGATTCCGATTTTGGTCAAAAATACCCATTTTTAACGGTTTTTTGAATGTAGTTTAGCCAAATCAAGTCGTACAACCAAAAGAACGACATTTTTGAGCAGCTAACATTTTAAGCTAACGATCCCAATCACTTTAAAGGAAATTTAATTTTTGATCCATTTTTTCAAATTTTGTAAGGGGTTGCATAATTTATTTTTTGACCAATTCTCGCATTGGGGGTGCATCATTTTTTTTTGGGATTCAGATTTTGGTCAAAAATTCCCATTTTTTTTACTGTTTTTCGATTGTTGTTTAGCCAAATCAAAGCGCACAGCCAAAAGACCGACAGTTTCGAGCAGTTAACATCCTAAACTAACAATCCCAATCATTTTAAAGGAAATTTATTTTTTGACCCATTTTTTCATTTTTCGGAAGGGTTGCATCATCTTTTTTTGGAATAATTTTTTGAACATTTTTTGCATTTAGTTGCTCGTCGATAAAATGGTCACATTTCTTGATTTCTTAATTTCAGACACCAGGCGAACATAAACGTTTAGTAGGTGTAACACGATCAGCTGATTAGCTTATTCCAAGCTTTCTTAGAGATGCCCTCGTGATTTCTTCCCTTTGGCCAGGCCTAAGCAAATACATAGGATTTAACTGTTATTTCGTGCATATCGTGATAATATCGTGACTAGCTCGTGAAACAGCCATGGTTGCTCATCTCTAGTCTGCGTTTGGCTCACAACTTACGGTTCTTTCCCATGGAGATCAGATCCTATTGGTCAGTGGGAGGAGGGGAAATATGCAAAGGGCCGCCATCTTGAAAATGAACAGCTGTTTAAGTTCACTTTTGGCTACCAGCTGTCACTTGCTAAGTTTTCTGTTTGCCTGGTGTCTGAGAACCATAAATCTAGCATTTGACTGAAAATATGTTACGAATCCTTTCAATTTGTTGAAGTAAATTTCCGATTTTTCATTTTCAAACACCAGGTGAACAGGAAAATTCGTAGGTGGCCAACGATTAGTTTTTAAGACTTTACTAGAGGTGTGCCATTTCAAAATATGTAAGGCCTTTTGTTGCCGAGCAAGCGATTGCGCATCTCTAGTCTGCTTAAACTAAACTAACGGTGTCCTTCCATTAAAAAAATTGTTAACGCCCATCAGCCACTTGCTACGGATTATGTTGGCCTGGTGTCATAGATCAGGAAATTGATTTTCAGACCTCATTGAAATGTCAATTCATAGAAATCATTAAACCAAAATAGCTTCTTTGCTAGCCGAAAAATGGTCAGATTTCTTGATTTCTTAAATTCAGACTCCAGGCGAACATAAACGTTTAGTAGGTGTAAAACGATCAGCTGATTAGCTTTTTCCAAGCTTACTTAGAGATGCTCTAGTGATTTCTTCCTTTTGGCACGGCCTAAGCAAATACATAGGACTTAACTGTTACTTCGTGCATATCGTGACAATCTCGTGACAATATCGTGACAAGCTCGTGAAACGGCCATGGCTGCTCATCTCTAGTCTGCTTTTGGCTCAAAACTAACGGTTCTTTCCCATGGAGATCGATTCCTATTGGTCAAAAGGGGTTGGGGAAATATGGAAAGGGCCGCCATCTTGAAAATTAACAGTTATTTAATTTCACTTGCTAAAAGTACCAGCTGCCACATGCTAAGTTTTCTGTTTGCCTGGTGTCTGAGAGCCACAAACCCAGCATTTTGATTGAAGAAATTTGACGATGCCTTTCAATATGTTGAAGTAAATGGGCGATTTTTTCAATTTCAAACACCAGGTAAACAGGTGAATTAGTAGGTGGCCAATGATCAGTTTGTAAGGATTTAATTATTCTAAGCTAACAATCCCAATCATTTTAGGGGAAATTTATTTTTTTTCCAACTTTTCCATTTTTTATAAGGGGTTGTTTCAGTTTTTTTTTAAATTCAGATTTTAGTCAAGAATACCCATTTTTTAACGGTTTTTCGATCGTAGTTTAGCCAAATCAAGACGTACAGTCAAAAGACCGACAGTTTTGAGCAGCTAACATCATAAGCTAAAAAATCCAATCATTTTAAAGGAAATTTATTTTTTGACCCATTTTTTCATTTTTTGTAAGGGGTTGTATCGTTTATTTTTGGGACTCAGATTTTGGTCAAAAATACCCATTTTTTATCGGTTTTTCGATCGTAGTTTATCCAAATCAAGGCGTACAGCCAAAAGACCGACAGTTCTGAGCGGCTAACATCCTAAGCTAACAATCCCAATCATTTTAAAGGAAATTTATTTTTTGACCCATTTTTTCATTTTTGTAATGATCTTTTTTTGGGATTCAGATTTTGGTCAGATTTTTGGTTTTTTGTAGTCAACTACTTCCAAAAACGGCTTTGAACAGCTTAAAATCTAAGAAGTAGATCAACATCAAATTTCTACATCAAGGAATACAATTAATTCAAGTTTTAACATTTATTTACGAATCACAATAGGAAGTCTAGCGTTAAAATGCTACCTCCCTCTCTCGACTACTCGACTACCTATTATTATATTAATAAAAAAAAAACAAAATAGGTGGGCGCCCCTAATATCTAATTGGGCATTTCGGGGACTTGGCAACTAGGAGTAGTTGTGCAGCAGGTAGTCGTAGCTGTACTCGAAGACCAACAGCAGGATGGCGCCTCCAGGGCCCAGGCGCATGATCTTGGGCACGAGTCCCTTGTACAGCGCCCGGAATCCTTCTTCGCGATAGACGATGCCCATGGAGCTGAGCGTTCCGCGGTACTTGATCTGCCCGAGAACAGGCTGTGGGCCCTGAATCCTCGACTTGGCCACATCGAAGGGGATGTTGACGAAGCAGGCCAGTGTGCCGGCCAGGAAACCGATGGTCACCTTGCGCAGGAACTCCAGATGGTTCTCCTTGTACTCGGGCACCACGTTCTTAACACTGTGGTAGAATCCAAAGTACACCATGTTGAAGACACCATTGCGCCCCATCGTGGCGGTGATGCCCTTGTTCAGGCCACGAAAACCGAGACCGTCTTGCTTAATGATGCCCTTGGCCACCGCAAACGTGCTGAGCATCTTCTTCTGGCGATCCGCCTGCTGGGCCACCTTGACCACCTCGAAGGGATTCACGGCGATGGCCTCCAGGGTGCCCGCCGTGAGGCCCGCCAGCGAAAAGGTCAGCGGCGTGGGTGTGGGCGATCCGAACTGGAAGAGCGGTTTCGTCTGCTCGAACACCAGGAACTTGATGGCCCGCTTGGGGGTCTCGGCCAGAATGGGCGGCATGATGCCCTTCCAGTACGAGGTGATGCCCTCATGGCGGTACATCTTGGCGAAGCAGTCGAACACGCCATTGTAGTGCAGCTGGAAAGTGGTGATATATCATCAGTTAATTGCTTTCGAAAAGGGGGGAGGGTTTGTAAATCGGTTTGGAATAATTATGTTCAGATCGTACAATTTTAGATTAAGGTGGAATATTTTCTTTTGGATTCTCAACTAATGCTGTTTCTGTTGGAATATGACAGCATTAAATTTTTACAATTATAGTTAATTTAGGGATTTTGATTTCTTTAAAAATCTTTTTTTTTATTAAATTCAAAATACCTAACATTATATTTAATATTTCATACAGTGATTCACATATTTTAAAATGAAATCATGCAATTCATGTATTCGTTTTCATTAAATGCCAACATTAAATATGACAAACCTCATATCCAATGAGTTCTACATTGATTCACATATTTTCAAACTGCATCATTCTCTTTGCATATATGTGTATTGAATATTTTTTTTTTTAATTTTTTTTTAATATTATATTTCTTGTTAGTGTAAACATTTTAAACCAAATAACTTTTTATAATGTTTATTTTGGGAAGTATGAATACTAAGCCTTTGAAGTGCCAAACTTTTTATAAGGATTTTTTGTTTGGTCCGGAAAGCATGAATACTGATTCTTTGCAGTACCAATACTACATTATCATAATTAATGAGAGTGACACATTTTTTCTTGCGTTGCAAACTATCTGCTTTTGTTCTAGGCACTTTTTATTCTGGCGACACGCAAAACTGGAACTTTTTCAACGGGCAACTGGGTGCATTGTTCCACATATATTTATTTGCTGTATTTGTGCTTATTTCCCCCTGGTCGCCTCCCCCTTTCGCTTTCTTTGACTGCTTTCATTTGCAGTCGTAAATTTGTTTAATCATCGCGCCTCGACGACAGAGAGATGCAGAAGAAATTGTGTCGCAGTATAAAGACATTTTTATGCTGGGGTCTACACACACAAATTATGGCTTTCCATAAACGCTAAGCAGAAGAAAGAATAAATATTTGTTTTTCTCCTTTCTTGTTTTGGTAATTTTTTTCTAAAGCCATAATATAGAAATTTACCCAAAAATCTTTCTTTGTATATGGCTTCATAACCTTATCTAAAGGCCCTGTAAGCATAAAGATTTTGGCAAGTAAAAAATGTAGAAAACACCCAGATTAGATAGGGTGGACGTCTAAGTTTCTATGCTTGATCCAGTTAAAATTCCAAGGAACTGAGTTCCGAATAGGTTCATTACACCTGAGACATTCCCATAAAGCTTACCCAAAACTAATGGCCCACACGCGTGTCCAGAGTCTGAGGAAAATTGAAAGTGCCGAACTGCTATCAGCGCATAATTCCAATTTCGAATGGGGATGGGGGAATGTTTCACACGTCTGCCAGGGGTCTACACATAATATATATGTATTTATATTATACTGATAAGCTTATTCCGGGGGAGTGCGGCGTTACGCTTCGACTGCTGATAAATGCGGATTGTCTGCCCCCTTGCAAGAGAAATGTAAACACATCTCCAACGAGAGAAGGAGAGAGGCAGCAGTTCGCATTGGGGAAAATAGAGAGCGCTTGTCCGTGACCTTGCTTTGCCCTTATCCAAAAAAAAAATACAAAGCCCCAGCCCCAAAGAACAAAACCAAAACAATGCACAGCTGATGGGAGGTACATATATCATTGAAGTAACCTCTTCAGATCTTGAGTGGTTTTAAGATAGTCTCGTTGTAAGAGATTCTTGGGAAACTACAAAGCTCTTTTGGAAACTAAGTATCTTAAGGATAGCTGTTTTAAATTTTGTTAGTATAATAGAAAATATTTTGGAAATAAATATGTTTACATATGTTAAAAGAAAAAGCTACCATATGCCCAAGTTATTATCCTAATTATGCTATTGGGATCTTTGCTTGCATACATATCCACACTCCATAATCTTATAATCTGACGGGTATTTTTCCATTAAACCACTTGTCTCCATAGTTAATGGAGCCTATGTAGCTGATATCTGATAACACAAGTACTCACCTCACCCAGAGCAGAGACATTTGCGGTGGGAGTGGCCTGGATCTGGATGCGGGTCTTGACCACATCGAGGGGCTGCATGATGCAGACTTCCAGAAATCCGGCCGAACCGCCGGCCAAGACCTGAAAGGCGGCGCGCTTGGCGTGGGATATTTCCTGCTGTTGACCTGCCATCCTGACGAATCTCCTTCTATCCTAGGGTCACTGAGTGCTCCACTGGGAAACTGACAACTGGCCAAGACAATCGAGTGCTGTCACTTTGGTTCGAATCGATTCCAGAGCCAACTGCGAGTGGTTCGACAAACGGAAAGTGTAAATAAAATCGGGAGGCAGAGACTCGAGAGTACTACAAACTACGGTTGAACCAACACGCCACCGCACGCCTCGAGAACGCAATTCGCACTGAGCTCGAGAATGCGCCAGCTGCCGCTGCCCAAGACAAAAAGGCACACGGAGAAAAATGATATAGCGTTATATCATTACGATGCATTAGCTCGAAAATGTATCTATGTACTTGTCCATTTTGGCTTAGTTATTATAGATACTTTTATATATTTCTGGAAATTAAATGAGAACCACTTTTCTCTCTGTGCAGAGAGGGAGGGGCAGCAGTAGAGAACATAGTCTATAGTACTGGAACAGGGTCGGGGCTAAGCTTTCGCTGGATTCTGATTCTGAATCGGATTGGGAATAAACGGAATCGGAATCGAAATGGGACTGGGAGTACGAATACCAGGCCCAGAGAGCCACATGTGCTGGAACCATACGCTAATTGAATTTGCTCACGCAGATCGTGGGATCGCCAAAGAGCTTTGTCACTTGGGGTCGGGTCTTCGTCATCACAGAACGGCGATCTCGCCAGCAGAAAGCTCAAGATATCGGACAAAAGAAAGCTCTTTTCGGCCTATGGAAAAATTCTTCAGTTCAGTGTTTACAGGGCAAAAGAACCTCATCCCCCTAATATCTAGGAACTACCCATTCACACTTTGTGTCCTTGCTACCTGTTCTAACAAGCATAGAAAATTCCAGTTAAACACATGTTCTATAAGAAAAACACCCTCACTACCGAACATTCAAGATGGACACAGAAGTATCTCTGAGATAACACCCGCATTTGACATAGCAATTGAAAGCGGTCAGGGCTATAGATTGAATATGGAGCGCTTGTAGATACTTGGACAAATTGCTCAGATAAGATAGCTGAGAGCGATGAAAAATTCAATAGGATTCTATATAATATATAGTTTTGTTTGATTGACAGACAGATAGTACTATTTAAGTAACCAATCTAAGTAGAGCTAATTAAACAATCATAAATGTCTATACTTCAGAATGATTAATAAAGCAAAGTAGTATAAATTCGAATTAGGAAAATAAAGGTTTAGATTTTTTAAATGATATACCTTGATATATAACTTATATAAGATACATAGTTCTAATATTTTGTTAAGGTGTTCCATACTCCAGAAATGTAATATACTTCCACAAATATTTAAGGACCCACCTGGGTTAGAACATTTTACAGCTTAAACAAGACCGCCTGATAGACTCTATCGCAACCATTAGATCGTTATCTGTGCATCCCATTAATGATGTTCCTCGCCCATGTAAACACGCTCCGGAGAGAAGGAGTAGGAGCCAAAGCCTCACAATGGACAAACAAATCGTTTGACATTTTCTGCCTCTTGATTGGTTTATTGTTCATAGCTCACGGCACACCGGACATCAATCAGAGATACCAGATACAACCTCTAGATTGAGGACAACTTTCATTTACATAAAATGCGTTCTATGCCGAAATTGATAGAACAAATTGTCGGTGTCAAAAATGCATCTTCTATACCCGAGTCCCCGGATCACTATGATTTAGATGCCTTTCTTTTGGGTCTGTGGCTTTGTCTGTCTGCGTGTCTGTGTTTTTCTTCTTTTTTTTATGATTGTCCAAATATTTCTGGCTGTTAATTATGGGCACGAGTTGGGTTTGCTTTCATACCCGGGATGGATGTGTGGAATTTATGACATTCGAGGGCCGGCAGAGGGGGGAATTTAAAACGCATTAGAGCCCATTAAAAGCGAATTAATTCAGGCCAGGCCAGGAATCCTGACCTAATAATGCTGTCACGTCACGCAATCGCAATAGGAATCAAAGTTCCGATCCGAACAGATCGTCATCCATGAATGGATCGATGGATGGATGGATGGGAAAACGATTTACGACTTACGATTTACGATTCATTTCGCCCGGGCAATTTCTCGTCTTTCCACCCGGCTGGAGATCACACAAAGATCCCACATGGAGTCCCTGTTCCGCCTCCAGAAACGCATTCTCCTCGTCCGTAATTAGTACGAGTTTTACAACTGGCCACATGCAAGCGCCGATTGATCGATCAAAGCCGGGATATACAGGGCTAATCAATCATTTTTCCATTTTCATTTCCATTTCCCCTTTTTTTTTCCCCCATTTTCCCTCCAAAGTGAGAACTCACGACCGCCTGCAGCTGTCCGTCCGGCAAAGAAAAAGGCAGATACAAAGGCTATTAACCCCGTTCTTTGGTCAGAATGTTCCACTTGTTGCACACTTGTGGCCCTTGAGAAACAAGAACAAGTTGGCCCAGAACAGACAGCGGTCATAACAGAAAACTGAGCCATGCACAGAGGAAAAAGAAAAACATTGATATGGTGTGATTTTATATCATTTTTGGATGGGTGGAATATATAATGGGATATTTTTGATAATATTACATGCCGTCCTTTGCGGTTTGTTACTATTTTCAATTTTCATAATCACTCACCAAGATACCATATCATTTTTTATCCGTGTGGCGTATGCCTGCCCATCGTCCATCGCCCATCAAAGAATCCCCGAAAAATTCACTTCCAGGCCAGGGCAACAAAGGGAATCGGTTAAGAGTGTTTTGATTAATGCCAGTTTTGACAGCTGATGGGCCACGAAGATGGAGTTTGAAATGGAAAATAGCTGGCTCCATTGATGCTGAGGCGGAGATGGCAGCTGTCCAACCACCAGACAAGTGATCCAAGATCCAACTGGGGACGGAGTAGGGTTTTGTTAGGTATTAAAGATAGTTTTTAATATCATATGCGGGTATGCAAGTTTTAATAATCAGACAAAGGTCCGATTAAAAATTATATAATATACATTCCGTAATCAATTCAAGTATATTATGTTTACTTATTACTTACAGTCGTATTTTAGATGAAAAAGTGATTTCCATATAATATTTTATAACTGTAGATCCTACATTTGAGCTATAGATGACAATTAATCATAGGCAAAAGAAAAAGCTTTTTAGGAACTACATCTTTCTTCGTTCTGGTTTTGGACCTACATTACACAGAGTGACCCACTGGCGACCACAACTTGCTCGGCGACCTTTGGCGACCCACTCAGAACGAGTTGTGCGATTTTCGCCCAAAACGAAAGTTAGTTACGCCATCAGCCAAAAACCAAAAGCGACCCGAATCCAAGTGCCCAACTTGCACCCTATAAAGTGATGAATACGGAGTGGCTAGTTGACCATTTCACAGACATTCGTCACACTAAATGGAGGTGCCTTGGATTATTCTATTACTTTGGATTGGGGGAACCGTGGGGCAAAGTTACTTGACGGGCGAGCATCGTCCACTTTGGATACTGGAGGATGGATTGACCAAAAGGCAGAGACAGGATCGTCCAGAAGCGGATTATGAAACGACCACCAGGATATCACCGCTGATGATCCGGCGGCAGGGAAGAGGAGGAGGTGGAGGAGGAGGAGGAGGCGGAGTAGGACAGGGGGCTGAACCTGGACCAATTACCTTCCTGGTTAGACATGAAGATCGGGAGGAGCCACCTCCACCGCCACCACCGCCACCGTCTCCAAGATTGCCCAACTTTCCCCGGCGGCGCTTCATGATGCCCCACCGTCTCCAGTTGCCCCATCAGTATGTGCAACCCATCCAGAAGATGAGGAGTCACCGGCGAGAAGGACGTCGCCATCTGCCAGTTTTCGATAATGGTCCCGGGGAGAATTCCCTGCAATTAGGCAGGGATAACTACCCCATTTTCGTTTACAACGGAACCAGGGGCGAACTGATATTGAACACCATGCTGAGCAGGAGACGATATCCTATGCAGGAACCTGTTCCAGGACAAGTTCTCTATCCACCATCGACGCCCATGTTCCGCCCCAAGCCGATTGTGGAGCGATTCCGTTTGCCAGGACAAAGGGAGATGATGAACCTGACCTTAATACCCTTCTATGCACATGAGGCCATCAGGGATCCGGCTCTAACTAGCACTAGTACTATTCTGCAGGAAACCACCACTCCCTCACCCCCAACACCACCACCACCAACTCCTCCGCCCTATGAGACACAGCTGCCCAGGATCGAGGAAATGACCAAGCTGGGCAAGCGGAAACGGAAGAAAGCCAAGCAATATGAGGCCTTCTATTCTCCCCAAGAAGTGATGCAATGGCAGTCGGTCCTGCGAAGATCCACTGGTCATAACGATAATCATCGTCACTATGCCAGTGAGGAAATGGAACCAGAGGATCATCGCGAGTTGGGGGATATGAACAATGGTCTGGAGGAGGAGGATCACGAGGAGGAGGTCGAGGAACAAGAGGATTGGCTAACGGAACAGGAAGCCGAAACGGAGGTGGAATTGCCAACAGAAACCTCCACCGTCAGCAGCAGTGAACCCTTCCACATCGTCTACTTCGATGAAAGTCTAGAGCGACCCGTTGTGGAATCCCTGACTACCACCACTCCACCACCACCTTTGCGACAGAGCTCGCGATATGCCCTAAAAAGGGAATACTACGCCTTTCCAGTTTATACGCTGGGTAAGCTGCTCCAACCCTCCAATCCCTCCAAGAAACTGCTTGAGAAGAGCGATCGCTCGGCCAGAAGTTCTTCGGAGAGGGAGCCCAGCACTTGGTTTATCCTAAATTCACGGTGAGTTGGGGTTTACTATTCTTCAAGAACATCTTTATAAAACCCCACTTAAATTCCAGTTACAAGGGTCCCCACCACCGATCATTGGGAATGGATAATCAGACCAAGTACTACACCTCCAAGTACATAGAGAATGGCTTTAGACCACGTAGATAGTAAAAGTACTAAGTGATATATCTAAGAGAGAAGAACTTAATATTAAAGACAATGAACAAGTATGGCTTTGTAAATGAAAGTGTTTGGGTATCAAGCAGCACCTATAACTAGGAAATTACCTAGTAAAAGATTGTGATTATGACAGTGATGCGGCGATGATCATTAACGCCTCCCTATAGAGATACCCCAATGAGACAGTTTAGATTGTAATGGGTCGGCTAGTGGAACAGTCTTACGGGCCATAAAGGGCGGTCATAAACCCCTGGGGAACAAAAAAGATACCCATGCTATGAAAGGGCAGTCGTAAAACTGGAGAGTGAAGAATAGGAACCATCTATCTATTGAGATTTTCGGAGCGACCCATAGTTGCATAATCTATCGTGCAAATCGAACGGGTAAGCCAAAGGCGTCGGCTGACCCAAATTCCAGAACCCAAAACATAGAAAATCAGAAAGAAAAACAAAATTTCAATGTGTTAAAAAGCAAAAAGGGAGGGCCAAGAAGAAAAGTCATCAAGAAGTTTTTATGGCCAATCGAATGGATGCGGCTCTTTCAAGAGTCGTGTAGATCCCCCACCCCCTTGGTCAGTGGATCCATCATTCATTCAATCACTTTGTCAATGATGCACCTCTCCAGGTTGCTCGTCCGTTCATTATTATTATTGATTTCCCAGCTTAGTTTTCGCTCTGCAGCCTGCAATTAATTTTCTCGTTGTTCTACAAGGGGTCCACAGTCCGTACTACCCACTCCCGTTCCGAATTTTTCCATCTGCTGGGGAAACTGGGGAAAAACCAGCTTATTGTCGGCTTTTCTGTTCTGGCCAGCATTGCCATGGGCCACACAATCGATCCCAACCGATTCCCCATTCCCATTTCCTCACTTTTTTAGTTTTCGGCTATAAAAGCTCGCACCGCGACTCTTTTTGGGCTTAGAACAAAGGCAACCGCGAACGCGAGTGGTTTACATAAGATCGCATCCTTTTTTTTCATATTTTTTAATTGTTCAACAAGGATAAGGGATATTTTTCCCCCAGTGAAGTGTGCTATGCAAATTGAAATGTGGCTAAATGTTGTGGTATGTGAAAAAAAATATTCAAGGATTAACTGCTTAAAAGCTTAAAATATCCTTGCAATTTGGAAAAAGAAAATCCAAGACATTTTTTTATGAAACAAGTGATTGATAATAATCGTGATGAATGCTATGAAAATCCCATTAAAATAGTCTGTTCATATATAAAAAATATAAGGATATTAAGATATTTTATATCAAACTAATCGTATGGACAAAAAGGAAATAATGTATAAATTCAAATCTTTTTGCGGCACATATTACTTTAGAGGACTATTTTAAAACATCAAGGAGTTTTTCAAAATTTAAAATCACCAAAGTATTATCTGAATTTTAAAAATACGAAGTCAATTGTGATTTGTTATAAATATATAAAGATCAATCGACTTTAAAAAAAATATTTTTAAAACAAAGTAAAATTTACATACTGAAAAAAATATTTTCGGAAATTGAAAAAAAAAACCTTTGAATAAGAATTGCCTTAGGAATATTTTTTTTCGCCAGAAAGGAAAAGTGGAAAATTGTGTTAAATTTTAAAAAATAGGGCAAATACTTTCTTAAGTGTTGGAAAACAATTTTTGGGAGCTATTTTAAGAATATTTACCGCCAAAAAGGTAAAAGTCGAAAATAGTATTAAATAAGGAATTGTAGGACTTACCCTTAATGTGTGTCGCCTTGTGTACTCATTGTTGTATCTTGTTTCCATCCACCGCTAGATCACTCTAATCCTGGCCGGATCCTCGCTGTCCAACGCCTTCTGGTGGCCAAAAACAACAACGTAAGTAACAAAGTCTCCAAAAAACTGCAAGATCCCATGGTAACCATACCTGTGTCCATAGGGAAACCAGGGAGCCCAGTGGTGGTCCAATGCTGCAGCAAATCCCGCTCACCTACTTCCGCACGTACACCTATCAGCCGTTGGCTCCCGGATTCTTTGGATTTGGAGCTCCACAGACACCAATGCTACCAGGACCACCCCACCAGTATGATCCTTATGCGGTGAACAGTTACGGGGCTGGCCGACGACACGACACCGTTCCCAGGCAGGAAGTGAGTGCGCCCAGTAGTACAACTACCAGCACGACCAGCACCACTCCGGCTCCAACGACCACAACGACTACGACGACGACAACCACGCCGGCTCCAACCACCACGACCAGTACCACCACTAGCACCACAACGCCACCACCTCCTCCTCCGCCAGTGGCCCAGTCCACCAGCAGCAGCTTCTCCGAGGGATCCACCTCCAGTTTACTACGCTTCGGCGAATATCCCACGTACAATCGCCGGGTGAGCAACCTCTACAATGCCAGGCCGCAGTATCCGTATCCGGACTACTTCAACTACCAGCCGCCGCAGCAGCAGTCGCAGAATGTGATGTCGGAGCAGGGGGTCTCCTCCAGTGGCAGTCGCATCCAATTTGTGCCCTGCATGTGCCCCGTTAGCATGCCCAGTTTGCTCCCATCCTCGACGGCGGCCACAACGTCTACCCATCCGGGCACTTCACCCACTTCTTTCGCATCACAGCCGGCGGCTCGTCACATCGAACGGCAGGAATTGGAAGCGGATGCTGATGGCGAGACAGTCGGCGAGGGAGAGGAAGAGGAGGAGGAGGAGGACGAGGAGGTGGTGGAACAGGTTCAGGAGGAGGGTTCCACCAGTAGTGTTAAGCCAATTCTCGACTGATTCGTCACTTTAATGGGGGTGCCATCAAAAATCTCTTTCAACCACATACCACCGCATCTAAACGGATGAGATATCTGGAAAATCCCTGTAAATACAATTATTAAATGCCTGCCCACAGAATTCCCCTTTTTTTCCCATATTTATTTAATAGTGAGAGCCCGGAATATACAAAAAATTCGTTTGATTTAATGGTAGGGCAATGTAAAAAAGCTATGAATGTCAAACAAGTGTTTTTCACATTGATTTCATGTTCTTTTATTGATTCATATTCGTATGCTCCATCAATTACATTTACACATTTAAATTGTATTTATCAATATTCTAATACTTTGCGCTTGCTGCACGGTTTCAACTAGCCCCGAGCCAAGATCCTTGAGCTCCGCCATCTCCATATCCATCCATCATTCCTCCATTTCTGGAGTCGCTCCTCCACATCAAACGACTTGCCCCTCAAATAGTGGAGGACGATCCTTCATCAATTCAACAATTACAATTACATTTACTTAACTAGATGAACTTGTGCTTCGAGTCTTTGAAGTTGAAATTAGCTTGCGATTTCATTTCAGCGGGCGCCAAAGTGGTCTAAACGTAGTTAATGCATAGGTAGTACAAGTACAAAAAAGGAGTTAAGTATACAACTAATCGGGGGAAAATATATAATCAGTCGTTTAAGTTTTTTAGATATACATGTATACATCGATATATAAATATAGTCATAAATATAAACTGCATTCAAATACAATTACAATTACGAGTACGATTACACCTAAGCGTCGGGGGTTGAACAATTAAAGAGTTACGAGCTAGAGTACCAGGGCGTAGTCCCCCCGGAGGAACTAGGCCCCAACTAACAAAAAAAAATTAGTCTTACTACCTAAGAAGATCGTACTTATCGTACTTAGTGCTAAGTCTGCTGCGCATGCGCTCGAAAAGAATCTTTCTTTCGTTTGTTTGTTTGTGTTTGTTGCAGGTCTGCAGAAATGCATGTTTGCTCGTTTGTTTGTTTGTTTGCTTTGTGTGTTACAGTTGCTTTCGTTTGTGGGCTTATGTGGTAAAGAAATTGCATTAATATGGCCTATCAATATATCTGATGAATATACGTATCCTAAGCCGTCATCTTGACATATTCTGCTCATTCCCATAGCTATAGCCTTCTTCTTTTTGCCTTTCCCAAAAAAAAAATACATTTATCTTTGCTTATAAGATAGAATTTTGTTTTTTTGCTTGCATATTTCCTTATGGGTTCTTTTTCTTTTTGTGTTTCTCGTGAACTTTTTCTCATGGTTTCTTCTAGTTGGACCACCGATTGCATCGGTGTCTCGTCCTCGCCTTCAAACTTCCAGATTTTCTAGCTTCAATCGCACACGCAAAAAAAAATAAACATAAAACATAACTTTTTCGTTTTTCGTTTTAAATATAATGAGATTGCGCCAGACTAAACGCGTAAATCACTCACACTCACAGTCACTCAAAGTTCAAGCTGCCTGCCACGCGCTGAACACACTTGGAAATCATTTGAAAAACTTAAAGGCGGCGCGACGAATCGGTTTATCACAGGATTCGGATTCGATTTATCGCGCCCCATCCGATAAATGCCATTGTTTGGAGGCGTGGCAGACGGCATCGCACTCACACTGTACACTGCACAAAAATAAATACTAAAAAATAGGAGCAGAGTCATGCTGGGAAACACAGGCTAAAACTAATGTGCCTTTCACACTGGATTGCGTTGTCCGCTTTAAAAATTAAAATGTGTTTCATTGTAAACAAAAATCAATACAGATTCAATAGGATTAAAAGATATACGCATAAAAGACAAAGGTATCTAGTTCAAACGATACAATACACAACCCAAGGTAAAAGGCACACAAAATGCTCGCAAATCTCAGATCTCTCGTAACTAGAAACTAAAACTAAATGCATACAGGGTAACCTAACCGAATGTCTGGTATATATATAGTATAATATGTATATCCCTGTAGCAGCGCATCGTCGGAGAGCTGGAGGGGCTGAGGCCTGGAGTTGCTGGATCAGTCTGATATGTGGATGTGGGTGTCGTGTCGTCCATCTCCAATGTTTCGATTCGCCCCCAGCCGAGCCCCCAGCTCCGTCTTCCTTCTCCGGATCCCCTTGTCCCCTTGTCCTCTCCTCCATCCTTCAGGCCTTCAAGATTTTAAGCTTCAAGGAGGCTTGAATCCCTAGACAAAGGTCTCGCGGATGACGGTGCCGTTGCTACTGGTGCTTAGATCTTAGAACTCGGTTGATTGTCAGACGAACGACGAGAAGCCGGGCAGTGGTGCCCTCGATCTGGCCATATTATTGACGATAATCTGGCCACCATTGAGGCTCATCACTGCACTGCCCTCCGGCTCCGAATCGGTGTAGCTTGAGTAGTTCCGCACCGGTTTGGTCTTCTTCCACGATTGCCGCAGCGAGTCATTCACGTTGGCATAGTGATTCACAAAGGAGTGCGGATCGCTGCGCACGCTCTCGTTTTCGCTTTCCGAGTGCTGAAATAAAAATGAATAGAACCAATATTAAACTTCGTTTCCATTAAATAATACTAGGTTTTTTTTTAAAGAAACTCAAGACTTTATACAAACATAAAATCATGAGGGAAACACGATCTAGTCCACATGTCTTGAGCATAGTATTCATCAAGCAGGCAAACGGTCCTTAGTAAAATATGTTTTGTTTATGATATTGTTGGTTGCTTTCAAATAACACAATGAATTTGAAATTTTAGTTGGGTTAGTAAAGGATTAGTTGGGTTACTAAATGGATTGTTAGTTTTCTAAGGGAATATTATGCGAGTTAATCAAACCAATTGGGCAATTTAGTTTCAATAAATGATCTCTTATGATCCTAAAGTGCTTTCTTGGGTTTCGATTTTAGTTTCGCTTACGGTCTTCAAAGACCTTTTCTATTGGGGTTTTGCTAGCATATTTTACTTGGTCTCTGTTTTTCCCTCAACTCACCTGCGATGCCTCCGAACTGCTCACCTCCGAGGGCTTCTCGGTCACACTGCTGTCGTCCGGATTCTCGTCGTAGCACTTCAGGCTCTCCTCGTCGCTGTGATAGGCCACGGAGGCGGGCGAGGGGCGTGGCGGACTCTTGCCGAGATGGACGCCCGGCGGCGGGCGATTGGTGGACTTCCTGCCCAGGGTGCCCAAGGTGCCGCTGCGCAGAGTGCCCACACTGTTGAGGGTGCCGGTTCCAACGCCGTGACGAGAGCGGTACAACTCCAGAGCCAGCTCCTGTCGCTCGTCAATGGACATGGCCATGGATTCCTCCAGAGTCTTCTGGGCCTCCTCTGTAATTGCAAGAAATCATATTTAAATTAACTAATTTATTCAATTCAAAACCTCTAGAACTTACGTTTATATTTGTAGCTCTTGCTCTTGACACACAGTACTGCAATGACCATTACTATGATCACTATCGATGTGGCCGCCAGTGAGACCATGAACCAAGTTTGCCGATAGAAGGGTTTGTGCTGCAGATAACCATATTCTAGGTGAAGTTTCGAGGGCGTCAGGATGGAGTCCTTGGAGTACACAGGGAACGAGATGCCATAGCGATTGTAGGCAATCACCCGGAATGTGTACGCAGTGGAGGGCATCAGGATGTGATAGCTGACCGTAAAGTCCTGCATCATGCCCTTCCTAGTCTGCTCGATTTTCGTCCAACGGGAATCGTCTATGGTTTGCGGGAGATAAAAGTTAGGGTTCTGCTTGGAAAGTATTTAATAATTAACTCTAACTACACAATGTCAAAATAATCAATATAAATACTTCAATTGAAATAAAAAATTTTTAAAGAAATGTAAAAATGCAAAAGAAACCAAAATGAGTTATGGCTAAAAAAAGGAATTTACCTAGGCAATATATCTATATTTATCGATACTATTATTTTTTTAGTAAAAATAAATAATAATAGCTTACACTTTAATTTCTACGAGACAGCAATACTTACAAACAAATGACGGCTCTCCTTTTTCTACGCAAGCATTTCAAAAAATGTGTTATTATAGTTTTTGGAAATAATTTGTCATTTTAGAACCAAGTCACCAAAGAGTTATCGAATGCAAAGTAGAAGAGATTCAAAAAGATACGGAGAGATCATATAGTAAATGCAGGTCCAAAACCAGTTCTACAATTTCGAGTAGGAAAACAGTAACTTACCTCGCTTTTTGGCCTCGATAAGGTAGCCCAGAATGGGTCCCCGACCCGATGGCCCATTGATCCAGTGCATCTCGACGCTGGACAGCGTCTTTGTCAGGATGAGATCACGAGGCGCTACTGGTGAACCATCTTGGGGTCCTGTCGTCACATTCTCACTCACACCCGGCCCGTAATCCACGGACGTTTGAGCACGGACGGTAAACGTATAGGTTACCTCCTCCTCGAGATTCTGGACGCGAAGTGTTGTATTGGATACCTTTTGTTTCACCTGCTTGCTAAACTCTGTGGGGAGTGTCAAAATAAAGAAGAGTTAAAATCATGTTTGGATCAATCTAATAACCTTAACTTACTCTCATTCTCTTCGGTGGTTTCGTAGGTGACCAAGTATCCCAGGATCTCACCGTTGAGGAACTTTGGTGGATCCCAGGTTACCTCCAAGCTCTGCATTGTGATATCCGAAAATCTAAGGTGGAGTGGAGCACTTGGTACTCCTGGCAGTGTTTTCACAGTAATAGGTGCAGATCTTGGTCCATCTCCGGCCGGATTGAAGGCCAGTAATTGGATGCGATATTCGGTAAACTTGTCAAGGAACACCAGGCTGTGCGAAGTGGCCGTGGCCGATACCACCTCGATTTCCTCCTCCCACTTGCGGCCGGGCTCCAAGGCTTGCGGTGAGTAGGTGACCAAGTAGTAGATCTTGTAGCCCAGGATATCTCCATTCTGCATGCTCTGCTTTGGTGGCTTCCATAGCAATCTAACTTCGGTGCTGGAAATGGGCGCTGCATCTACGGCTCTCGGTTCTCCGGTGGGCACCGCTTCGCCCACATAAACCGCTGCTGGGGGCGTGCCAGGTCCAGGACCTTGGGAATTAAAGGGTAGCACCACAATCTCATAGTTGCGATCCTGTTGAAGATCCGACAGCACCACACTGTTCTCATTGATGCCATGCACATCGGTTTTGGGTGTTGACTGCAGGGCGGTTGGGAAATCGGAGAGTTGTTGGTAAAGAATTCTATAGCCACCGGTTCCGGCATCACCATTCCACATGCCTGTTTCCAGAGCACTCCACTGTACCCTCACCGAAGTGGTGGTGATGGGGACGACCTTCAGGCCTCCAACTCCGACTGCCGGAGCAGCGGGCAAAGTTCTCACAACCACACTTTCGCGACTGAAGGCCGAGGGTCCCAGATCATTGGTGGCCTGGATACGAAACTGGTACGTCATATAGGGTCTCAGCCCAAGAGCTGTGTAGGAACTCAGCAAAGGATCCACTCTCTCCGGGAGTGGTTGCCACCTGCCCTCATTCTCGCGCATCTCCACCGTGTAGTAACGAAGTGGTGCGAAGCCATCTCTTCCCGGTGTCCAACTGAAGGTGATCTGATGAGCCTGTATTTGACTGCGTGATATTTGTGGAACCGACGGGGCCTGAGGTCTTTCCCGGTTATTGGTGGTGTAAACCAGTGCAGTGGCTATTTTACCCCATCCCAGGCGCGTTTGAGCCGTGCAACTAAAGCTGTAATACTTCTCCGGAAGCAAACCAGTGGCTCGGAATGTCCGATCGGAGGGCGGGAACTCTCGACTGTAGTTCAACATGGCACTGCCATTCAGGGTGTAGGTGACCTGATAGGCCAAGATCTCTCCATTGGGATCCATGGGCACATCCCAAATGATGCGAGCCATGGTCAGGGTGACGTCGGGGAAACTCACATTCGATGGCACACCCGGGGTATCCTCAAAGGTCTGAACGCGAATGGGTGGAGTGCTCAGAGCACCATTGCCCAATCTCGTGTAGGCCAGAACCTGAACATGATAGACCACGAACTTCTTGAGTTCCGTCAAGGTTGTGGTGAATGTGGCATTATTCGGTATCGTCTTATGCAGCACCTGTTGTCCCCGATCCGTGGCGGCATAGAACACCTTGTAGCCATCGATCTGACCGTTTCTATGCTGTGGCGGCACTTCACCCCATTGCACGACGACTGTGGTGGATGTTGTGGCATTGGCCTGGACATCCAGTGGTCCATAGCTTGGAACCGCCTCGCGAGTTCTCTCCACGGCCGTCTCACTCTCCTTGGAGCAACCGACATCATTGCAGGCATTCATTTTCACCTCATACAGTGTCCACTCCTCCAGACCATCCAACACATGCGAGTTGGCCGTATGATCTTCGATTACCACCGATCGTGGTAGGTATTTTATGGTTCCGGGAGCTTTTACCAATTGCTTGTAGGATATATTATATCCCCGGGGATTTCCATACCACTCGGTTTGTTGCAATGGTATCCAACGAACTCGCAGTTGCTGAGCACTCATTGCCCTCACGGTCACATTGAATGGTGGATGTTTGGGCCTGGCCTGGATGGTCTGGAAATCTTTGGTTGCCTCGGAGGGTTTCGAACTTCCAACCACATTGCTGGCACTCAATCTTAGCCTGTATTGGGTGAACGGCACTAAACCAGTGACGGTCAAAGTCTCCGCATCGGGATCGTTGATCTCGCAAATAGTGAACCATGTCATATTCCTGGCCGTCTGACCTTCGACCTTCCACTTGGTAATGCTGGAGTTTCCATCAAAACCGGGAGTGAACTGTAGCACAACGGAGAAGGCTTCGATATTGGAGAGGGCCAGACTAGTGGGTGCATGTGGTAGAACTGGTTCTACACCACTCTGAATGGTGGCTGTTTTTGGGGTTCCACTACCCACGCGCGTCCAAGCGAAGATCTCGAACCAATAATGGGTGGTGGCCTGCAATTGATTCACCGTCAACTCAGTATCGTCCGCTGTCAGATTGAAGGATTTCAGGGTATCCGGGCGATCCTTGACTTGGTAGCGAACCGTATAACCCGTGAGGATACCGTTTGTAAAGCGTGGCGGTGCCCAGAGAACTTTTACCGACCGATCGGAGACATCGTCGAAATGCAGGGCAGTGACCTCGTCGGGCACATCATCCAGGGTCATCACCGGCACTTGAATACTGGCTACACCATCGCCGGGATCTGTGAAGCATAGCACACTGATATTGTATTCGGTGTACTTCTCAAGACCTCCCAGAATGGCCGTCTGTTCCGCCAGTGGATCAATCAGACTCGGTGGCACCGTCATCATGCGTCTCTCAATGTCCTTCCACTCGCCATCGATCAGTCGACGTTGCCAGGCCTGAATCTTATAGCCCTGATTGATGCCATTGATCTGTTGCGGATTCGGTGGTGTCCATCGGCATCGGGCCGCCGTCGAGTTGATGGCCTCCACTTTCACATTCGTGGGCGGCGCTTCTGGTACTCCTTCCTTGGTCTTGATCTTGGAACCCTCGGTGTAAACACCCACGCCCATGTTGTTGTATGCTGCAATCTGGACAATATAATCCTTCCAGGTGATCAGTTCTTGAATCAGAAAGTTGCGCTGCGCTTCGTTGGTAATATTCTGATAGGACCAGGGAACATTGTTGTACCCAAATAGGCGATACCGCAGGATATAGCCAAGGATCTGACCATTGCGATGCTCCTCCAAGGGCGGTTGCCACTGAGAAATAATCTCCGACATGGACCGAGCGGATCCAACAAATCCCACCGGTGGACCGGAAGGAGCTAAATTGGGGGATTGATATGTATATTATTAGAGTGGCCTTATAGAGATCTGTAGTCCATTTAATGGAGAGTCTGTACTTCTCTCTGCGGTGTTTTCTTTGTTCATCTCTGTGTGTGTGTGATTTGTGTGAGGGGGCTTATAAGGGGCGTGATCTGGTCTATAAGTATATACCTCGGTGAAGCGGAAACTCTACGCGCAGGCGGGCGACCAACGGCGATTTTCAAAATTCATTTTCGTGATGACAACGATAGCAGTTAAAAGTACAATACATATACAGGGTATTCAGCATTAGTTCTTTACACTATACAAGGCTATATACGGCTATATATCTATATATATATATATGTTTTCTTTAATGATTTATAATAATTTCTAAGAGAAAAATCAGACAAATTTAAAATCTGTAATTTTACAAACTTATAGGATCTTTTATCGAAATAAAATAAATGTTTTTGAACACGGAATAAAAAAAGGTACAGACATCAATTCGAGTTGAAAATAGGTACACATGTTTTCCGATTTAGTTATTCGTGATTCTATATAATCACTAGAAATTAAATCAGATCAAATGTAAGATTAGTTTACAAGGTAATCAGAATATACAAAAAATTAATGGAGTAAAGAAATTTAAAGAAATAAACTCACGTAAAAAAATACTTTAAAAAATTTAAATGCGTTTAATACAATAACTTAATAACTTGGGAAAGCTTTGGATTTCTCTTAATAAAATATTCACAAATTAAATAAAAACCAACTCAGGGAAAGCAATACAACACACACACAATATACGTTACGATACTAGTACTCAATGCACAAAATGAGGATTGGAATCCCAAAAGCAGGGATCGTTTGCGGGATCTGGGTAATACTACTCACCTTCTTGGGGCAGTTCGACGACATTACTGGGTTCCGATGGAGAACCCTCGCCCACGCGATTTACGGCACTAACCCTAAACTGATAGACGGTGGCGGCCTTGAGGTTCTCGAGCAGGATCCATCGTTGATCCGCCGAGACATTGCTCAGCTCGGTGATCCAGTTGAGCAGAGGATCTGGGACTGGACCTACGAATTTTTCTGTGATGTTAATGTGTTTGGAAAAAACAGCAGGCGGGGATCATGGTGAAATGGTGAGTGTGTAAGTGGGAGATAGAGATTCAGGTGCGATTGGTGTTATGGTGGATTGGTGAAAGGGTGTTCAAGTGGTATACAGATATATATATATTTTGTGAAAAGTGTGTAGATTACAGCGTGTTCCATGTGATGACGTTGTTGTTGTTGTCGATGTTGATGTGAACGCGATGAAAACAAAGTGCAAAACAACAAATTACAATCGAAAATTAAATAACGAATATGTACAAACAAGTTATCATCAATAAATACAATGTATAATACAATTAATATCAATTTACAGTTCGTAAAATTTCGGTTCGTTCCAGTTGTTGGTGTTGTTCAAAATAAATTTAATGGAAGAAAAGAGAGAACAAAAAGAAACGGATCAAAATCTTGGTTTCCTTTGTGTGATTTGTAATGAGATCCTAAGTTAAGTCGGTGGTTCGTGGTTCCTCATGAGCTTAAATTTAACCAACGGTTGCCACTTTTTATTGTATCTAAAATATATCGGATACCCATATATACTAAGGGTTTTCTAAACATGGTATCGAAATGTATTTATCTCTTAAGAACTACATGTATTTTGTATAAATGAAAGTAATTATTTGTGATTCGCGGGCTATTCGTTTCTGTGCGACATTTTTACTTATAAATGGCAACCGTGTACACTTTCATCCCTCCCCATAAATCATAAATCCAATGCTAACCAAAACCACCGCAACCCGCAAACTCTACGCTACCGGAAAATACATATAAAGATAAAAGTATCCAACGAAACTTACCCAATTCGGAGACCTCACGTCGCTGGATAATAAATTTGGATATTGGACTGTTGCCATCGAATCCCGGTGTCCAGGATACGTTGATGCTGCGCTGTTGCGGCTCCGGCAGTCGTTCCACCTTCACGTTGCTGGGCGGGAACGGGAGCTCGATGACACTGAGGCGGGCGGCCCGCGTCTCATTTCCCCCGGGAGAGGTGACCACACAGGCATAACTTCCCACATCGCTGGCCCGAACCGCCTGGATCTCCAGCTGCCCGTCCGCCTGGACCCCAATGCGCTGCGAATTACTGATGGGCGTCGACGACTGACCCTCGCGATACCAGTCGATGTTGTACGGAACACTTGGATCACTGGACACCTTGCACTGCAGAGTGGCCGTCAGGCCAAGTAGCACCGTTGTGTCCACCGGCGGCTGGATGATTTGTGTCCGCACTGCGGGAAAAGAGATGGAAAAAAAAGAGGTGGAAAGGCAAAAAAAATAAGAGCACTTTCTGGACACGTGGGGTTGATGGGAGGTGGATGGAACACATTAACAACACGGCAATGCAGATTAAACGACCGCAAGTTGTGTGGCAAATGACAAGTCGCGACAGCCCCGCCCACTTTTATTGCCAGCCCATCGGCAGACACCTCTTCTCTTCCGCCTCGTCTTTCAACTGACCCCCCCCCTCTTGGCTTATCCCTTAACCCGTAGAGAATCCCAGTTCCCAGGACTCCGAAAGGTGGGGCAAACTGAAGTTTTAAGGCCCCAAAACTGACACACAAAGCCGCTTTGGCAAAAACACCCTGGATTTGGGAAACTTTTGGATGTGATAACTAGGAAGTTTGTAAAATGTAGTGGTATTTATAGTATCCTAACTATAAAATATTTAAGTCTTAAGGTAATGAAAACTCAGTAAGTTTGGTATAATGATTTTCCTAACTCAACTTTTGTTAGATAAATTTTGTTATAGTACCCGCATTTATTTAAAATCTTGAGAGCTTATATCCCTCAAATGATCCCTATTACAGGGTATTTTGTAGTCTTTGAGCCCACACTGCACACTTGCAGGCACATGTGCCCCCTTCGTTCGTCCCCTTTATGTATGGCTTTCTCTTTTGATTTTATTTATTTTATGCTTTTTCTTCCTTTTTTCTTTATTCTCGCCCGGCATTTCTTTTTTAGCTCTTTTCAGTCACTTGGTGGCCCGCATGCATCAAAAGTTCAACGCGCCCCGTGGCCCAGACATTGTTGGTGGCAGTGGCAGTACTGATGGTACTGGTCCTATATGGTGGTTCTGCCGATGGTGTTGGGTTCCGTTCCGCTGGTGTTATAGTTGTTCTTGTTGTCGTTGTCGGCCTGTTTGCCATAAGCCAAGTTGTTACCCATATGGGACGAGATGAACTGCACTGCATTGCACTGAACGGCAAGAGCGAAAAGTCCACAAATGAACCTGGTTTTCCCTTAAAGCCTTCTATAGTCACACCCTGGATACCAGGTATTATGGGTCTTGTTGGTTCGTTTGGTTTTTAGCTATCATTTTCAGAAGATCTAAATTTTAAACAGTTTTACGGACAAATTTTAAAAAGTATCTTAGATGTTTTGAGGCAATTTGGAGGCAGAAAGTATTAGCTAACCAAAAGGTTGATTTCCGCCCCTCCGGGGGCGCCAAATAATACAAAATCATTCTAAAGTGTATTCAGAACTTCGATATCAGCCCGAAAAAGAGATTCATCGTTCCTCTGCTTTTTATTTCTTTGTCGGACTTGTGCATGGTGTTTTATGCAACACACACGAATAAAGCCAGGAGGCCGCTGTTGGGTTAAAAGGGGTGATGGAAAACTGCCATCAGCATAGTGGCCACAGTCCACGGAGTCCACGGGCCGCATTCCGGCGTTTTGCCAATTAGCCGCACATTGATGCTGCCTTTTAGGACCACACACCACAGCACACACGTGTCGCGAGCACACACACAAAATACGCACAACACACTCGTGTGTGCTCAGGGCCAAAAATATTGCATGTGCAAATCAACTTTAATTACACAAACAACACAATGGACAGAGCGAACGAGTGGCGGCGGCGGCGGCAGGCAACACACAAAACCCTTAAAAAATCATTTGAAGCTTTTGGATTTTCTGGTCTCGCTGACGCTTTTGGTCTTGCAAAAAGTCAAAGCCATATGCCCATTTAACATAGAGACATGTGTGGAAATTGTAGAAGGGCTATGTATTTTTCGTATTATCCCAAAAGCAATTGACGCTGCCCAGGAGGGAGCACTTCAAATGGAACCCATCGTTGTTGTCGTTGCCACTGCTTTTGGTTGTTGGCATTATTATTATTTTGCCTAGTTGTTGTTGTTGTTGTTGTTCTGGTTGTTGCTGTTGTTGTGGCTGCTGCGGCTTTGATGACATACATTATTATTATTGGACCATGCATTTTAGTTGATTTGATGCGATGTTAGGGCCACACTAACGCACAGATAACAACCTACATATGTGGCAGCAGATACACGGAAAAAATCAGGGCTAGCTGGTTACTCAATATAAAAGTAAGTACTCTACAAAAGGAATTCCTTTCCTATACCATATATCATTTTTTACTATACCAATTTAATAGGTCTCTTTACTCATGGATCATGAAATCCCATTTGTTCTTTTAGCTTATCTTTTCTTTTATAAAACATACAATTTTTTACAGTGGCCAACCCTTTTTGAAATTGATATTTTTCTGTGTGTGAACCGAAATGTCATTGGCAATCATTTGGCGATAGAGAGCCAGATATACATATTTAAAGGGTGAGAGGAGCCAAAACAGGTGCACAAACAACCGTCTGTTTAATGGAGAACATTTTTGGTAAGTAAACTCAATTTGAATCTCTTTTGTGGTTACACAAGAGTTTCGCTGGGCGGATGACAGCATTTCAGTAACAGTCGCAGGATGTGCCAACATCAAAGCTCTGCGATTGAACAATTGATGGGAAAGTTGCGGGTTAAATCGAGATGGTAGACAAGTAAGACTGGAGCTTAAAAAAACAGTTGCCGGAATTTAATTCTATTAAAAGGATAAAATATACATCTTTTATATCCCTAAACATTTCTTAAGTCCATTATTACAATAAGTTACTACCAACAGGTAACAATCTATTTATATCAAAAAGCAAATATTAATTTAGCAAACTCAAGGCTTAGTTGGGTTATTTAAAAATCTGAAACACAAATATGCAAAGAGAGAAACCGAAATGCTAAAAGCTTAGTTTGGTTATTTTTAAAGGACTAGACTAATGGAAAAGCAAAGTCTAAACTGTGCATGCTTTCAGACTGGCTTAAATACGTTAAATGCGTATATTAACAGGGGTTAAAAGCCCTAACGCTGAAGTTGGTTTCCCCTGTTCAAAAATTTGCGAAAAGGGCTGGTCGGGTGCTACATAAAACATGAAACATAAAACCCTCGAAAGCCCCGCTAACTAAAACGTTAACACTCAAAGGCGACCGACTAGACAGACGCACTTCAAACTAACAGACGGGCGGAGCGGCAGGCAATTAAATTTGTGGGGGGGGATAGATATACTGTATTTTGGTATTCTGGTTACTGGATACTGGATGCTGGATACTGGATATCCTGGTAAAGGGGGAACTCACCCAAAACACTCAAATAGGCCTCGCCCTTGACGCTGCCCGCCTCGTTGGCCCGCACGCAGATATATAGACCCGCGTCCACGGATCGGATGTTCGAGATGAGCAGGTCGCCCGATTCGAGTATCTGCACCCGGCTGGATATATCCACCAGTTGGGTCTCTGGATTTCGGTTGGATTTCGGGTGGGTTATGGGTTGGCACGATGCGAGCAGTTTTGTTAGCATTACAAGTTGATTGTTTGGTTGGTTTTGGTTGGTTAGCGCGGGCAAACAGATAAAAAATAAAAAACAAAAGATACATATTAGCATCATCATAATTAGTGGGGGGGCTCTAGCCATGCTCTGGGTTATTATCGTTGCCAAACTCACCATTGTATATCCAGGTTATATTCGGATTGGGAGATCCAACTGCCCGGCAGGATATAGTAGCATCCTTGCCATCCAGAGCAGTCACATTCTGGGGCGGTGACTCCATAATTGGAGCCGATGCTGCGGAAATTTAAATACAATCGATTACAATTAAGCCACAATTAACTTTAAAGGTAAAATCACGGTGGGGTTATGGGCTAGATTCAACGCAATTAGTGGTTAAGTAGTAAGGGTTGTGTAAGTGGTGTGGTTCTTTTTTTGTTTGTTTTAATTAATCAGCTTCTAAGGAAAATCTGTGAAGCTGAAACAAAAATTGATTAAATTAAATCTACAGCATACTTATTGATGAATAAACAATAAGGGATATTTACATATGTAAGCCTATGAAAGATACTATTGAATAATTCAAGTGCACAAAAACATGACAAAATACGTGACAAAAAATATTTGAATGTTAATATAAAATATGTATATCTCTGGATTTTTTGCACATTTTTTTTTTTCAAAAATCAAATTGTTTTGTTTCTGTTTTTTAGGGGTGTTAAGGGTAAAGCATTTTTTCGCTGATTTAACTACCGTTTTCAAATGTTTACTTTGTCTTACAATTAATTATTTATTTGTCGTTAAATTATTCCGTGTTTACCAAGTGCAGGTTTGCAGGTGGTTTTTTTTTTGTGTAACAAAATTAATTTTATTTGCCCTTGGCAACAATTTGAAAAAAATCATTTTAAAGCTTATTTATTTAAGGGCAATATACTGGTTTATTTATTACACAAACTTCTCTTGTGACACTTTTATATTTTCCACTTATTATCAAGTAACTATTTTAATCCCCGATTGAGGCTTCTCCTCAATTAGGTTTCAATTGATACTTTTTCTTTGATTAACTACTTCATTGACTCAATCCACCGCCTTTCACTTTCCGCCCTTCATTGTGTGCTGACTTTTGCAATTATGATTACACCAAATTAAAGGCTGGCCAATTAATCATGCTGCCTCCTTGTTGGCATCAGGTGGACGGATCAGGTACCTATATATATATATGTGTATTCATATATATACCCTCCATTTCCCTCATTCCTCAGAACGTTTGGCTCCATTTGGCGCCCTTTCACTTGCTGCTGCTGCTGCTGGTTAATGTAAATTATTTATTGGATTTTGAGTGGCACGATGGCTGCCTGTTTCTGTTGCTCCTGTTTCTCATGTTTTTTGCCTGTTTTCCATTGTTATGGCCAAATGCCACGCGCTCGAAGGCCGAAACTGAGGCTGCTTTTAACTGGTTTTGCTCCTGGCAGCAGCGAGTCGAGTCGAGTCGAGCGCAAATGTAATAATATTCGTAATAATTTCGCATGATGAAGCATTCCCGTTAACTACGCTTATGTAAATAAGTGCATAAAATTACAATAAAAGCACCCAGGGTGGGTGGCTACTTGCAACATTAAGATATTAAGTGCTCGTTGCTGCAGTTGCAATTGTTGCTGGGGAAATCATAAAGACATCAACTCTGCTTGATACAACTGAGGCAAAAAAAGAAAATAAACAAGAAAAAACAAAAAGAACCCTATAGTCGACGACCTCGACTATCAGATACCCATTAATTAGCTTATAGGGAGTGCGAGGGAGATGGAGATATGTATGCAGCAAATTGGCTGTTTTCGAGATGGCACACTTTATTTGCTTATAACTTTTTAACGTATGGTTCGATTTAATATTGATAATTAGAACAAAATCCCATTTACACTTCTACTAAATATTAACTTAACTTAGCCTAAGTTGCGCTGCGCAAGAACCTCAAGAATCTGCATGCCGAATCCAAGATCTCATCGTTTATACGGACAGGCGGACATGGCTAGTTGTACTTGGCTAGAAATCCTGATCAAGAATATGTACTATATATACTTTATAGGATCGAAAAGTCTTTCTTCTATCTGTTACATACTTTTCGACAAGTCAAGTATACCCTTTTACTCTACAAGTAACGGGAATACTAAAAGAAATAAAGAAAAATTCAGGGGTTACAGGCAGGCCAACTTAAAGTCGGATTAAATATGATTAAGCCTGTTCGCAAGTAACTTTTGTATGATGATACACTTAAAGGACAATTAAGCTGCACATCGGGTTTAATTTTGGTATGGAAAATTTAAAGGGCAATATATGTATGTATATATCCGACCCGGATAACTCCTTCGTCCACGGGCAACGTGTTAAGTGTGCTTAAGCCGCCCCGGTGGTCAGTAACCAGCCCTCTCTTACTTTTCCGGGTCTTTTGGCCCGCTTTTTATGGCTCACGCAAGCCGCATATTAAAGACACGGAAAGGACCGCCTGAAAGGAGAAACAATTTGTGGCAGGATTCGCCAGGGAGACCTAAAGAAAAACCTAAAAAGTATAATAAAAAAAACCAAACACTTGCATCTAGGCAGAGTGCTTAGCATAAATTCAAACTAAATCGAAGTCAAGTTCGCAAATGATTTATGCCCAACAATCAAACGGAGCGTATACGTAATGTATATTAAGTATACGTAAGTGGTACACAAAGAAAAACAAATTCTTGATTGTCTCGATAATTGAAATGAAATGCAGATGTGTTACTTTCAACAGTACTTAAATTAAATTGAAAACTTTTAGATATTCCAATTTTAAGATATTTTCTTGAATGTATAAGCAGGCGGCACTTGGGCCATTTCGCATTCGCCTTCATCAACGGGGTTGGCTGTAATTAATTTCGAGTTGACCCACTAAAGAGGCCGCGCCATCAACTTAAAGTCATAATAAAACGCTCACTCAGCCGGACAAGTGGGAAAACTGGGTGATGGTGTGGAAAACTGGGTGGAAAACTGGCCATTACTTGGCCATTGAAGTGGCCACCCGTTCCAGAGTCCAACATTAGCATGCGAATTGTTTTTAGCCCTCGTGCCGCCTTTGTGCCGGGCTCTAAAATTTTCACCCCACCCCATTTGGCACACCGCTTAAACGCTTTTTCGTTCTCTCCAACAATTTTCCCTTTGAGCGCAGCCGCCCTTTTCTTATTTTAATAAGCATAAAGAACCGCTTTTCAAGGGTCCCCTTCAATTGAGCTGCATAATTTTTGATACAGACTTTTCGACTAATCGAAAGGCACTCTTTGGAAATGCTTAATTATGAAAGCTATTGAACCGACTTTTGGCCTTTGATTGGTTTGGGTATTAATTAGTGATTAACTGTAAAATAATTTTTGTTTATAGGGTTGTTTAAGGAGGAAACAACTTTTCGAGGGCTTATAATAAGACATAATATTTGTTACAATATATAAGTTTTCAGGTTTCATTGCTTTCGTGCATTTTCTACTAAATGACAAAAGAATGTTACATAATGGCACTTTACTTATTTGCGGTTCTTGAACCAACTTTTATACTATGTTTAAGGCCCATTTAAATAACCAAAATTACTATACAAACAGTAGTAATTTAGTCAAGGAATTCGAAACTCCTTTTTATGGGCTTGGCATGTCGCAGACCAATCAACTCGAAACTCTAACGTCCGCTGCAATCAATCAACGGGGCGGTATGGGGTTAAGCCATTTCGACCTCTGACCTCTGACGTACAACGCCACCTGTTGGCGGTCCCATGAAAAATGTTAACGAAAATGAATTTGAAAACTCTTGGCTTAGCAAATAAAAGAAATCTCTACAAATTCGCACAGTGGAAATCGCATTGAGCCATCAGGCAAACGAAAGGAAGTGAAACAGCCACGCCCACTTCGCCCCCAAAGTCACCTAATTACTCGCACACATACACAAACAAATATAAGGGGGGTGGGGTGGTGTGGGTGATGGGCGATGGGTGGTGGGCGGTGGGTGTTAAGTGCAGGCACCTTGGAAATGGCAGGAAGCGGCGATTAAAATCACTTTTGCGTTTCGGGAAATTACGAAATTATGTTACTCGAGAGTTGAGGCAGCCGGGAAAAGCTCAGGCAGCCGGAAAATGCGATGTGGAAAACTCTGACTGTGGCAGGTGCACGGCGAGCGGCAGTGGCGGTGGTAGCAGTGGTAGCAGCACGAGCGCAGATTTACGCCAACTTAACAAAAATGAAGTGAAGAAGGCGCTCCGCTCGGTTCTGTTCTGTTCTGTTCCGTTTCAGAGAGAAAAGGCCAACACAGAAAGATGCAAAACTTTGACAAACACTGGGCCCGGCTGTGTCGGCAGGAGGTGCAATTAAAATGCAGCCAGGTCTTAGGACCCAAGAGCACCCGAGCAATCCCCTTGAACGCGAAAGGCTGGAAAATAATTTCCCAACTCAACTTCTTCGCCTATCTAAGTGAAAAGTGCTCCGGCACAAGGATTATCCCTCAAGTGGCCTTCCAAGCGGAAAAACAGAGAGGGAGAAGGGGCTAGTGGGTTCCTGGCTCTGGATAGACTGACGAGGGAATCAGCAATACAAATGCCAAACACTTGTTGCCATAGCGAGGAGCTAAAGAATTGGGAGGATGGGGAGACGCAGCTCCACCAGCAGATAAACGAGCGCACAAACAATAAACGAAAGAAATTGCAAAATGAAATCAAACGAGTCCCAAGTGCGCGACTTGAGAAGCGCAGAGAAGGGCGCCCGGTTGCGAACAGGATTAAACTTGAGCACTGGAAAAATGAACATCACCAATAAGCTGATTTAAATATCCAAGTCAAGCGTCTCAATACAATAGTTTGTTGTTTAAACTTAAAAGGTTTTCAATGGCGCCCTTTACTTGGCCAGCTCAGAGCTGCCCATCGGTCATTTTTCCCAGTGTAAGTCCCCGGGAAAATAGCTCAGGGAGTGTTGGACCGGACCCGGTGGGTAATCGAATCACAGAGACCGGAGAGTCAAACAGCAAGCGGCCAAAGGTGTTCATAATCCGATTCTGATCCTGATCTGGATTATCTCGGCATAGACCAATTACGAGGGCAGCTCACTTCGATGGAAAAAAAGGGACTACGATAGGTAGGACTACTACATGGGCAAAAAGAGGACAGGGTGCACACACTCTCGGCCAGAAACAAAGCCGATTAGGACAGCAGCGGCTCCTTCATCCTGTTGGCCAGGACGGCCCGGATTGCCCAATGCAGTCAGACAACAGTAATACAGAGGAGCGAAACTTCTGCTTTTGCTGGCAATAAAACTTATCCTCCTTTAGATAGGGAGACTGGGCAGAGAATTACAGCCTTGGAGAGGCTAAATGATGGCCCCGCCGCCTAGGATCGTAAAATGCGCTGGCGCAGACAAACAAATTGACTCGAATTAGCCTAGGCAAATAAAATTAAATGAGCCGCAACGATTGGTTACCATTCAGTCATGCCGAGCGAGATCCGGAGCGCTCGAGAGGGAGCAAAAAATATCAGAAACTTGCCCAGGCTAACTATAAAAGCTGGAAAGTTTTTCAATAAACCGCTGACGACAAAATCTCTTAACTAGTTTAACTCGAATACAATGCAGCAGGGCTGCAAAAAAAAAAAATAAAATAGAAAGAGAGGGGATAAAAATAGATGGAAATGAAGGAGGACCATGCTGCAACATAAGAATAACTCAGCAAAATATGCATGGAAATTTCAAATTTACATGAAAATCCCAGCTCTGGCCATAAAAATTTAAGCGATGAGGGGGGCAGCACAAACTTTGCTTAAAGTCCCATCAAGAAAGACACAGAGACGAAACTTATTCTAGACCCGCAAAACAATATGTCCTTCGCCCCCTGTCACAGGCCTCGACTCAACTCTCAACTCGCTCTCTCTGTCAAATATTTAAACCGTCAACGGAGTCACTCGTTTTTTGGGTTAGGCTCATGAATGAGGAATTATTCTCCGGCCAGCCGACAGTCAGCTAGCCAGGAACTTCGAATTCGCAACTCAAACGAAGGGAGCCAAGGAAAAAAAAACCCAAAAAAATAAGAGGAAACCCTACGATGTCATGTCAGCATGACAGCAGGACTCAGGAAAATTTTCGTCCCCAGAAGTGTGACTTGTGTGTCAGTCTTAATTTTCGCATTATGAAATTCATTAAAATGCAAAATTGTCCCACAGCAAGTCATATTCAAGTGGGTGTGTGCGTTTTTTTTTTGGGTGGGTGGCAACCCTAAGGCGCAATTTGACCCAGCACTTAACGGTACTTGGGAGCCTTTGAAGGTGAAGTCCTAACTCATATACTTATATAAGCCGTCACTCAATGACAAATTCGTAATAACCCATTTTAATGGATGGGACAGTATTTCAAAGTAATATTAAAGGGATGTATTTAAATAAATTTAAGTGAGTAAGATATAATGGTGAAGATTAAACTAGGTGTCAATACCAACTAAAAGTTAAATAATGTTAAACAAGATTAATAATGCATAAACCGGAGGTAATTGCCAAAGCTAAGGGTTTAAAATTTTAACTTGTTTTTGGATTGGGTATTCAAGATGCACATCTTTTTGGCCTTTAAAGTGCTGTTCTTTTTCTGTTTAGACTAATATTAAAGCTAAATCAAGCTAAATGGGGGAAAAATTCTGCGTTTTTTTTGGATATAAAGATTTATTAGATTAACCATGGCTGGGGTGTTTGTGTTTATCCAACAGAAAGTGGTGAAGGTTGCCGGGGACTAATCAACTTGAATGAAACATTTTTCTGCTTTTGACAAATTTGATAAAGCAACAGAATAGAGAGGGTAGGGCAGGCGAAATTCCTACTGCTCCCGTTGGCCAAAGGCGCTTTGGCCAAGACTGCAAAACGAAGCTTCGCAAGAGCCGTAGGGTGAAAAACAAATTAAGAATGGTCCATGGTTCATGGCACAAAAAAGAAGATGAAACGGAAACGAGGGAGCCAAAAGAATACTTGTAGATAATATTTAAGCTTAGACTTAGGAACCCCAAAGGCAGTAAAAATAACAGCAAGCCAAGCCAATAAAACAACAAATTCAATCGCAAAACAATCAAAAGAGCTACTTTCTAGGGGCTATAAGATATTTTAAGGGGGTGTGGGGGTTTTTTTTTTAGGTGCTTTTAGGGGTTTCTTCTTTTAAACAGGGGGTGAGTGAAAGCTATAGTGGGTGCAAGTAAGTGTGAGTGCTTAAGTGAGTGTGTGTTTTTTTTTTGTTTTTGTGTGGCATTTAGCTGCATGCCCATACCAAAGCGAAACTCCTTGCGTCTACCGGAGGAACCTGATCCCGATCCCGATCCCTTTTCCGATCCCACGCCAGCATGCGAAGCTCTTACCCTCAGGATTCGCGGCTGGGCCAAACGCTTCACGCGGATCTTGGCCGTTTTTGCTATGAATTCGTTTGTTAATAATGGGTTAAAAGGTCAAAATGCAAAAATGGTTAGGGGTATATAGAGATGTATAAATGGCATGGAGGTATATGGAAAGAGCACTTATTTAGTATACCATTGTGACAGGCATTCAGGCATTATCTTACACTGTGTGACACTGGTTAAAGTGGACTGTTTCAAGTTTACCATATTATCATGGATTATAATGAGAAAAACATTGTTTATTTCAACAAATTTTAACGATTTGACGATTTTTTTTTTGCTGAAATCTCTATAAACTCGCAGGACTTTTTAGCTTCCACCTTCGGTTCCATTGTCACACAGTCATAGTTGAAAATCAGCTCTTGACTTACTTTTTACGCGCAGCCAGGTGCTTGCCGAGTTCTCCCCCGCTTCGTTGATGGCCAGACACTGAAACATTGCGGCATCATCCAGGATTAGCTTCTTAATTACCAGCGTATTATCCGTGTTCAGCGAGTATCTGCGATGGAATTTCATAAAGAAACAGAAAAGAGGTTACCACAAAATCGATAAAATCTCTAAAGCAACTAAGCCCACCTTCCGCTTTCAATGTGTGGATCCACAGATTCGGCATTTCGGAACCACTTGACCTGGGGCGTGGGTTCACCAACCACATCACAGGCCAGCTGCACTTGTCCACCGAATTCCCCAAAGGTTTCCGCTCGCATGGGTGTGAAAAAGACGGGTGGTTCGAGAATTTGGAGGCGAGCCGAAGCACTAACCGGCGGATAACCGCCACTGCGCAATCGCACCTGGCAGGTATATTCACCGGAATGTGAGCTATTCGCCTGCAACAGGGCCAGAGTTCGATTCCAGGGATCATTTAGGTTATGCCTCACTCCGGCCGTTTCCACAGCAATTCCATCTTTCAGCCAAAGGGTTTCCAGCTCGTGCAAAGGTCTGGCATTCGCAATACACTGCAGTTCAACCACTACGGTTCCCATTTTAACCTTAACATCCTGCGGACGAACTATGATCTCCGGAGCCACCTCAATATTCGGATCTCCACTGACATTCAGATAGAGAAAGGCGCTACTCTCCTCTTTGCCCAACTGCGTGTTGATTGCCTTGGCCCGATATCCCTTGCGATCGTTTTCATCGGCACTCAGGATGACCAGCTGATTTGCCTGGGTGAAGGCGTACTTTATGTCATAGATCAGAGGTCCGTCCTCCGATTGCCACATAACCGATGGCACGGGCACGGATTCAATGGCTGGCATATCGAAAATGGCAGGATGACCACTAATCACAGTCAGTCGACCCTCGGTGGTGTTCTCAAAGATGCCCATGTCTGTGGATGAATGTAGAGAACAAATATTGAATTAATATATTTTTATAAATGTTAAATACTAACTACAATGGCTACAAATGTTTCTTCTTAAGCACCAACAATATTACTTATTTAGCTCCTTCAGAAAAACCCCTTTATTCTATCATCTATCTATTTATATATATAAAACAATTATCAGTGGAAGCAGTGGAAGTTTTCTAATTTTATCTCATATTAAAAGATATCTATGTAATACCACATACTTCACTGTAACTGATATCCCTGGTATATTCCCTTTCAAAATTCTGGATTTGCTAACAGGCAAATCGAAGGAAACCCCAATGCCGTGGAAACCCAGGAGAAGTGTTCCGTGCCTTCCTGTGGTGTCACTCGCTAATTGAATTGAAGGCAGCGCGCGGCCTGCGGGCAAGTCAATTTAACCTCTGACCCCGCTCTTAAGCAGCCGCTCCACGCCTTCCATTAACCCCCCCGCTAAGAGCCACCCGGCTGAGCTTTAAAGGTTATTAGTTCAGTTTAAGCACGCCCTCCCTCTCGCCGCTTCGGTCCTACAATTAATTAAGTGCTCAAGACGCTGCTGCTGCTCCAAGTCAACCAGTCGTCGAGTCATTGAGTCAGTCTGTCAGTGAGCCACGCCCATCAGCCGTTTTCCCCCCTTAGAAAAGAAGGTCACCATAAAGGGGGGTTATGTGCCCAGTGTTGGGAAGTACCTATGTAGATACTTGTACCTAAGAAGCCTGAGTATTTGGGGACTTTTTGGAATATTATGTATACTTTTTAAGGTGTATGAATTATGAAAAATGATATAATAGTAAATAAAATATGAAAGAAAACATACATCGGTGGGACTCGAACCTGTTACATAGTTTATACCGTTGTAACGTTATATAGCACTGTCTAATATATAGGTCAATAATTTTGCTATTATAATCTTCCCTAACTTGGTACAAATATCGTTTACCCATTCCAGCACTGAACATAAGCGATGGCATAAGGGGTTCTCTTCATGGAGGTCGTTCTCATGTCGAGAGCTCGATTTATTAGGTTCAAGTAGTGGGGTAATAAGCACTCGCACACATGCACGCACACATTGAAAGCGCTGAGCTCAAGTGTCACTCACACTTACTTGTCTAATTGTTCGTTACATCCACACCTACCCGGTGACCCTTAACCCGTACCAGTACCAGTACCAGTACCCGTACCCGTAACCCCTGACCCTCCCTGCTCCTCCTCCTCCACGTTCCGTTCTTGTTGTAATTAAGTTCGCATTAAAGAAAAATTAGCAGCTAGACATTTATCAGGGCCAGGGGGTAAAAGGCTTGCCTGCTGTGACAGCCGTTTGATTAGTACTCCACCTAGAAACCCCCCTTCACGCCCGCCCATGCTGCCCTCTAAAAAACAATTTGAAAGTCTTTCTAGTTTTTCCTGGCAAAAAATTAACCCACTTATCTAAGTGCCCAATACTGAACTTTGACTCTACCACTTCCTTTTAATTTTCAGGGTATTTAAATATGTAACTTTGACATTCTGATTAAATATTATATTAAACTTTATCATAAGAGTTGAAGAGCACCTTCGTTAACCAATGAGGCATAACTCAATTTCTATTATTTTTTCAACTAATTGGTAACTTAATCTCTCGAAATGCTTAACCCAAAATAAAAATGAATGGAATTATTCCGGTAGTATCTCAAATTTCGACGCATAGAGGATGTAAGGATGTGGCCCCCCCCCTCCGGACTCTGTCACCCCCCCCCATCGTCGTATGTGAAATATTCGGAATATAAACTTACAGGCAACGACAATGTCACTCTTCTCGCTGAATATGGATCCGGCATCATTTCTGGCAATGCACTGATAGCTGCCCGCATCCTCGCGCCGAGTGCTGTGGAACCGGTAGAACTGGCTGGATGAGAAGTCGCCCACGGGGACGCCGTCCTTTAGCCATCGATATGTGGGCTGTGGGTATCCTGTAGATGCGAAATGAGGAATATGAAAAGAGAAAGAGCAGAGGGAAATGCTTTAATAAATATCATGCGGAGCGGTGGTTGGTATGCTGGGTGGTTGGGGGGTGTTATAAAGGGTATCTTGTACATATCATTAAGCTCTGGCATTTATTTGATTTGCACTGACAAAGGACATCAGACAATTGGCTGGGAAGTGGTAAAGGGATTAAAGGTCCTTTGTCTTTAGAATACCTCCCTATCACAAACTTAATTAAATTTTAGTGAGACGAATAAATATTTAACCCTAGACTTTACCCTTCATGATAAACTAACTATCTTATTGCACAAATATATTAGAAAAAATGTTTAAATCTAATTATTAAAATCAATAAATGTCAATAAACATGACAATTACATTAGGTAGAATTAGATTTTTTACATACTTATACACCACTCAATTATATGCTCATATTCCTAAATATATTCTCATATAAACCAGCAAGGGAATTTTATTTTTTCTAACACCACAAGTATATTAGAAAAAGTGTTTGAATCTAATTTAATTATGCGTTTATTTAATTTAATTAAACACAGTTGCCATTCCGTATGCACTACATTGATTATGTCTTTTTTCGTCCGGCAACTATTAACTTAGTAAATCGATTTAACCCCTTCAACCCCGCCACTGCCGCAATTAAATCGCATGCTGGCCAAGTTTTTCTGCCATAAAGAGCCAGCCATAGATGGTGGGTGCCCCGGAGCACAAAGGACACCCTTGTGGCCACATATGGCTTCATTTGTTTGAGCTGCCGCCCAGAAAAGAAGCCAAAGACTCGAAAGCTCCAGAGATGGGTCCATGCTTATATAGGGGCGTATATAGAGTGCTCATTCTGATTTCATTGCTGCAGCCGAGCATTTAAATTAAAGTTGATTTATATGGCCACCATCCCAGCCAGCCATCCCAACCCTTCTGCCCAACCCATCCACCCACCTGACCTCTCCAAACTCCCTTTGCGAAATGGAATTGCAATTGGAATGGCTAAACAAAAATTACATGTGACCAAAGGGGTTGGGGAGGGGCCCAAAAGGCCGAAAGGAGGAAGGAGGCCGGCTGAACTAAATGAAAGTCTGAATAAAATATGCGATTCGCCTAACTGGCCAGGATGCAACAGGATTGAGTGCACATCACATCACAGGATGGAGGCCACCGAACGGGAGCAGACGGATTGGATTGCCGGAGGCCCAAATCCGGTCATCAAGCCGGCGGAATGCCACCCCGAAAACCCAAACCCAAACCCAAAGTCCTGGCGGGACCATCAACGCTTTTGCAAAGAGCTTAAGTCGGGGACTCGGGCTCATCAAAGAATTGGGGTTGATGGCTAGGTGTTAGCAAGCTGTAATCCCAAATACCCTGTAATAGAAGCGTATTGATCCTCGATTGCTGTTAAAATTGGTTCTTAAAAAATTAAACATCTTTAGGATTTTTTTTTGTTACTTATAAAAAATGTATTTCAAATTTTAACATTAATTCTTGTTTTTTTCATATATTATTCAAACAAACATTGACTATACCCCAATTCGATTTTTTATTTATCCAACGAAGCATTTTTGATATCCCGTATTCCACATTTATCATATGTTTCCTACCTTTTCAACTTATTTTTAAATTATTAAGCTATTATTCAACTGGAAGCACTCATAGATACCTTTTAAAATGATGTCCCATATTATGTAGTTTAATATTTTTCTGTAATCCTTCTACAGATCTAGTCTATATGCAACATTTAAATGACCTCAGTGATCCCTGAAATTTGGATCCCCCCTACGAATACCACTTAAATTCTAAACACTCTAACTTAGTTCACAAAACCAGCATACCCAGTCCATTTTTGTGGCCCTTACAGGGTAGCACCAGGATAGCCAAACGTGGCCAATGGCAATGCAATTCACTTCATTCAGTTTGCAGACAAAATCGAATTGAGCCGAGTTAGAAGCGAAACTGGAAACTACCAGTCGAGAATAGGAATCAACTTGAGAATAGCAAGATATAGGGGTGGAGATATCAGAGCAGAGAAAGTGGGTAGAAGAAGGCTGGCGAAGAAAGGAGAAGACAGAAGAAGCCCAGCAGCAGCCAAAAGTTTCTCAAGTGTTGGCCAAAAAAAGAAGAGGAAATACCCAAGGATACGAAAGCAAAAAAAAAGCAGAGAAAGAGAGAAAAAAGGTTACATGAACGGACCAAAAGGCAAAAGTCTATTTGAGCATTTTGGGCAATGACGCTGCTATAAAATTACAATTTGGGGAATTGTAAGGCAAATACACACGGACACATGCACACACACACACACACATGGTCGCAAGGACGAACACACACATGGTCGCACACACTCACACATTAGAGTGCCGTTAGTCAACAGCAAAGGGAGCACAAAAAAAAAAGAAAGTAGAAGAAACAAACATTCTCCAGCGAAATGTGTCAGCGCTAAATCGAAGCGAAGGCCCAATAAGCGGAGAATCGAGGGGAGAAAGAGACAGGCAGTGGCAAAAGAGAGAGACAGGGAGAGAGCAGATCCCCGACGGACCCTTACCAGATAATACACTTGAAGAAAATACACCCCATACCATATAGATCAAAAAAATCTATAGAAAAGGTCATTTTAAATTATTTCTATAGGTTTAAATCAATGTTAGTGCTATATTCCTTTTGTCTAAGGTATAGAAGATCAACATTCACGTTAGAATTAAGAACAAACTTATGTTTTTAAAAGAAGTCCGGGGTTCAATACCCAGTTAGTGCAATGTGTTGGAACGCTAAATCGTTGTGTTAAAGAACTAAATCTAACCAATCATGACCATGATTATAACGAAAGCATAATGTTCTTAACATTTTTGGACAAATATTTTTTTTAATTTATTTATAATACCTGTAGAACTCCCCCATTTTTTACCAGTGTCTTTACATGTCTCTGTGTCATTGAGTGTGTGTTCACATATGTGTGTAATGAGTTTTTAATAACTAAACTGACAAAAATCCTTTAAGCCAAAGCCATACAAAGTCACTGTCACTTCAAAAAAAAAATAAAAAACCAGGCACAAAGCAGAGGAAAACTCAAGGCACCATAGAAAAAAAAACAGAAGGAATTGGGAAGGCTGAAGACCAGTGAAAACAACCCAAGAAAAAGAAAAACCGGGGGCCAAAAGAAGCTGAAATTTACATTCTCTTGGGAGGCGGCCAGAGTCAATCAGATAGTAAAAACGGGAAGAAGACCCTGGTAAACCGAAGGCCAAATGGAATTGACAGAGCGCAAAATTCATTAAAAAGGAAACAAATTTTCATTTCGAGCTGCAGACAGTGCACAAGACCTTTAACCAAGTTTATCAAAGGAGGCAAATCGAAAGTTATTAAAAAAAAAAAAGATGAAAAAGTATATATAAAAACTTAAATTAAATGCCAACTTTCAATCACTTAAACCTCTTTGCCAAGCTGTCTTTATCGCTTTACCAGCGCCAATTCCGTAAAATAGCGATTTTCCTTTGCCGCCCATAAAAGTGTGCTACTGTTTTTTTTCCTTTTTTTTCTTCTTGGTAAAATCGGCAACAAGTCATCACCATATTTATGTGGCTTTTTCTTTGCGGCTTGCCACACAGCAGCCAAATGCCACTCACTCAATCAGCCAGTCAGACAGGCAGTCAGTCAATCAGTTAGTCAATCAATCAATCAATCAGTCAGCGTGTCTAAGCAAGCCCAACTGCATATAAATAAATTCAATAAACAGGCGACGCAATGCAACAAATTGCATTTGTGTGTATATGTGTGTGTGGATGCGAAATGGGGGAATCCCCGGTTCCGCATGGCGGAAATTGTTTGATTTGTGGCCAGAGCAAACCCATTGGAAGCTCCACGAAATCAATTGCATTTAAGAACAGGGCACTGGGAGTTGCAAGGATATGGGATGAGAAATGTGGGATGTAGAACGTAGAACGTAGAACGTAGGATGTAGGATGTTGGATGTTGGATGTTTGGGGAAACGGAAGAGGCACGTAACCGTCTGGTGGCACTAGGCATTCATAACTCCAACTCCGGACCATCGGTGTTTGTGCAGCGCACTCTTTACAGGACGCCCAGAAGTCCATTTGCCAATTCGTCAGCTTGGACTCTCGGCCCCAGAGATATGGGATCGACTCATTCTGGCCTAAGCCCCAACCCAAATCAGAACCGTGTGCATCCTTTTGTCTGTTTTTCAATGGATACCATTCGAAGAGCCAGCACTGTGGACACTTAACTAGGTCTTTTAAAGGGCTTCCAAAATTTGGTAAGGCAAAATAAAAGAAAAACATTCCGAAATGACTTTCTAACCTCCTAAAACTTTCTGTAATTAATTAACTGGACTGCACTGTCGAACAAACATTCTACATATATACTTTAAATGCCTGGTATTCATGTGATTTACTTTAAAGCTTGAGGATAAATGAGTTATATTAATAAAGATTAATTCAATGAATTTCGTTGTGTTCTATTTTGAATAAACGGAATAACTGCAACGTTTGCTGAAATTTTATCGAAATTGGAAAGTTTACTTAAATGCATATAAATTGTTATGCATACTGCATGATTTGCTGCAATTTGTCTGTGCAACCTTTTGCCCATTTTTTATATATTTTATATGTGCATACCAAACGTACGTTTTCCTCTTCATTATTTTACATGTGTTTCCACAGCTTGTCTTACACAATTTTAATTTGCCTTTAGTTTTCGGTGGTCGCTTCTCCGTCTATCTGCCTCTCTTTCCCGCATCCGCTTCGCTCTAGCTGTCTGCCTCGCTCTACGTATTCTCTGTTTTTGTTATTCTGTGGCAACTCTGGCACATGTTTGCTAAATTATGCACAGTGCAATGCGCTGACGCCTTTGGACCTGGACAACAAACTGATACACAAAGAGAAAAATTGTAAAAATGAAA